GTAATTTCCACCGCCGCGGCTATCAGCCGCTGTGGTGTGAATCGCAGTCCACGATTAATTGTTCACAGCGTTCAATGAATGAAGACACTTTTCTACCTGGCCCAATCGCGAAAGTTGTGTTATCGATTCTTGCGATCATTGTCATCTGCACATTGTGTAAGGCCATACATATCATCGATTCGCCGGATCAATCTGTCCCCTTGAGTAGCCACAAATATAACTACAAGAACCAGCCATAAAAACTGGCCTTTGGTTTTAGCCTCACCTCACAGCCTGCAAGTACCCGCCGCTCTTTGCTATTTCACTCTGCTTACATTCACACGTTTGACCCAATCGGTGCGTCTTGAATTTCAGTGACCTTTAAACGCCACATTCATAATACGGATTGCACATACCTTCTATACTTTCTGATCCACGCCCATTCACTGCTTTCTGTGTGTCACGAAATTGAGGCAGCTCGTTAATTTAGCCAAAACGCGTTCCTTGTATCAGCGGTTTTCTCCATGACTCTTCCATACCACACCCCAGCTTCCCAATTTACCTGAAATAAAAGGTTTATTTTGGCGCGATTTCATGACAATAAAACTATCCGTCGCACATCCATGTAGTTTTTTCGAAGCTTGAAAATCTTAAGGGAGCACGCTTTTTAATGGCCACCCAATTTCTGATTTAAATTTATCTACTCATGAGTAGCCCGGTTTTGTGTACGTATCTGTGGTCACTCCCATGTCCGTTTTATTCTCTCCTGCATTTTGAAAGACCCGACTCTGAACGAAGGTGTCAGCTTGACGAATTTAAGCCCACAAGATCTCAAGCGACAAGGCAGTAATCGATTCCGATGGTAGGAATACAGCGTCGTTTTCTTTCTTTCAGAGGCTAACCTCTAAAATCTAATCGCTAACTTAATGAAAAACTCACAGCCAGCTGTGACTCCACAGCTCCCGGGTGGTATTCTGCCAAGCTTTCCGATCATCCTTTCCGTACGTCACATTTTCTGGCAAGTGTGCTAATGTACGCAAATACCTCTCTGGCACAGCACCATTGCAGGGGAAACCGCAAACGAAGCTTACAGATGTGTGACAGGCAAGCGTAGACCACGTGATCAGCCCACCTGTCCCCCAGTACAACGGAATCAGACGATCATGAATATGAAATAGATGAATCGGTCGAGCCTCAATATGCAGAGTTGTAATGCAACAGTGAGAGTGCGTGGGCAGACATAAGTGGCAAAGCCCATCCAAGCCCGCCGACCGAGTGATTGATTGGTGCCTTCCAGTGCCGTAAGGAAACGACACTGAACCGCCAGCTTTCTATGTGACACCGGCAGAAAGAAAAATCGTTCTGAGCACATTCGTGTCCAGACGCGACATGTTGTTTGGATGATCGGAAAACTGTGTGAAATCCTGGAAGTTTGAAGACGCTTTTGGGTTACAATGGCCTTATCTATGAATAACTAAAACTCCGTTTCAAAACAGCCCCTCTCAACGGTACTAGTACAGTTATGGACTGGAACGTAGGTCGAATACGGCTGCGTTGAACTTCGCTTTCCAACCAGGAGCTGTGAAATTGAAGTACGATGGTGCATGTGCGTTGTCCTTTTTCACACGATGATGTCTTTTGCAATAACCACACTGGTGAAGTCGCACTCCAACATTTCACTCTCACCGCCCAAACGGTACAAACCAGCTTGAACAATCCACCAGCTTCTAAGCCGCGTGCACGCAAACTACTTTTCATATCCGTTCACATGGCTGTTCTCTGCACCACCGCCTCTCGTGACTCAAAGAACACCAAGATCGGGTTGTTTCAGCGTCTATTTAGCCCCAGCTTTAGCAATGTTGTGGAATGTAGGTAGCTCGGGTGCGCTGCTTGGTTGTTGGTCTGCTCGCCGAGCTTGGCAGTTGAATTGCAAACGTTTCATCACCAATCGAGATGACATCGTCAGTGCAGTGCACTCAACTGACGATGTCACCTCGATTGGTGAGGAAACGTTTGCAATCCAACTGCCAAGCTCGGCGAACAGACCAACAACAAACCCCCAGCTTTCTTGGGCGACCTAGACTCCAACCTTGTCTTTATTCATGGTGCCTGCGTGTATGATGCAGGAATAAAAGCGTCCCTTTTTTAAAAACGATGTACAGCCTTATTGGTGACCGTTTTCACCAAATTTAGGAGACGTTGGTTTGTGGGCAATTGTGTCTGTTTCCGTTCCGCGTTGTTCGTAAAGCTTCCAGCACCCAGTCTTGGAATTTTCGGTTCAGTTGTCACTTCAACAAAATACTTGCTGTGTCATGTGTAGGTCCATGGTAACCGGTGCATCAGCCAGGATGGGATAACCGAACAGAAGTGGCAAATGAAGGCTTTCAGTTTTGATTGGTTGATCTATGTATGACATGTGCCCTATACCCTCCTCTATCCACTCGGGGAGCTAACCACAACATCGCAATGGTCGGAAAGAACACCATATTACCTCCTCAACTTCCTTGCTGAAGCCCATCTCATCCTTGATGCCAAACTCTTCAATGCAAGATACATAAACAGTGTCAGTGGCGAGCATGCCGCTGTTTACCAGTGGGACTCCCAAGCCACTGTTTATCCCTCATTGGTTGAGTAAAGTTTACGAATGAGGCTGTATTGATCTGGTATTTGTCTTTGTGCTCGGCGTGACTCCCAGAGGTGTTTATTGAAGTATTGTGGTGCACTCCCCAATTTCCCATCGTCCTCCTTTTTGTGTACTTTCCGCTGGCAGTTCACTAGTGATGTCGACAGAGAGTATGTCTACTATTAAGGGAGAATGTGAGTGGCTCTGGTTCTATAGATGACTGTTGTTTTGTTCGATTATTTGGGCATTTTGGTTGCAAACGTTTGGTCATTCGTCTCACTGTCGGTGTGTCCCAGTGCGTCGATGTGTGGGCGTGTAACTTAGCCAACGGAGCGACACTCAGAGATTGTCCAATACACACACTGGTTTCGCGAGAGACTCATTTGGAACCCTTGAATCTCTCGTTTATGATGTTTTTAGGCACCAGGACGCCTCACGTTTCGGTTGGTACGATATTCGGGATATCTCGATCCGCGTATGGACGTAATACACTACTCATAAGGTTGCTGAAAAGCCCATGACCAGTTTCGCTGTTCTTGGACGAGGCATGAGAACTTTCAGTCACGTTTCCATCGAATAAGTGGAGCTACTGTGTGATGAAAAGCCAAAAATCATTTTACAGCTGCTTCGTTCTCGTTGAGCTCTCCCAACTAGCAGATGAATTCCAACCAGTCACTAGAGGAGGTAGTCAACGGGAAGGAGTCACGTTTCCATCGAATAAGTGGAGCTAATGTGTGATGAAAGCCAAAAATCATTTTACAGCTGTTTCGTTCTCGTTGAGCACTCCCAACTATCAGATGAATTCCAACCAGTCACTCGAGGAGGTAGTCAACGGGAAGTATGACTAGCCCTTTATTCCGTTTAAGGATAGTTAATCACATGGTAAATTGGCCGCTTGTGATGGGACGGTTTAGGCTCCAACATCTAGTTTCAGGGTTGAGGGTCGTCAGGTGCGCACTGATGATGAGTCCAGACAAAGATAGAACGGTTGTATAGTGCATCCTGGATTTCGGAATGGACTGGAGTACAGCTTGATTGAAGATGTAAAAGTAAGCAGCGCGATTAGGACAACCAGCCACGTCGTCTTGATGAAAAATGCTGAACTGCGAACAAATTGGAGACTGCCATCGCAGTTTCGAACACAGAAAGCCAAATATTCTGTAGGTGAAAGACGCGGAATTTCATTGCGGAAGAGCAGTACTCTTGGTGATGATTGGTAGACCACCGTCTTGAAAGTTGACTGGACATTTTGATAAATCTGTGGTTGGATTATTTGTTTGTTTTAGTAACCAACCAGGTCCTCCACTTAGATTGACTAATACTCAGATAAAATGCTCAGAGTAGTCACCATCAGTCTGAATGTTTGAATACATTCACAGCTATCGAGAGCTACACTCATTTGCAAATCAATTTGGTTTTCAGAAAGACTACACCTGATGAGGCCGAATCGGAAGGGCGAAACCGGTCGTGGGCTGTCGAAGAGTTTTCAGCAACCTTGTGAGTAGTTTCCTTTATGAAAATGTACTGCGATATCTCGAATATCGTGCCAATTGAAACATGAGACGGCCTGTGTGCAGCACATTCAGTTGTAGCATATCATAAACGAGAGATTCAGTCGAGTCTCTCGGAAAACCAAATTGATTTGCAAATGAGTGTATTTCTCGAAAACAGTCCAATTTAGGTTCAAGTAGGTTGACGGTGGAAACTCAGGGAATGCGCCTACCTGATGAGGCCGAATCGGAAGGGCGAAACCGGTCGTGGGCTGTCGAAGAGTTTTCAGCAACCTTGTGAGTAGTTTCCTTTATGAAAACATTCACAGCTATTTTAAGCCCTCTTTCTACACCCATTTCAGTTCTCCCAACCATGCAGACTAATTGGCTGGTGATTGGTCCTATGTGGAATACCCTGAAACTGCTGGTCAAAGGATCGCCTGTTTTGTTTCATTACATCCGTTTAATGGGTCCCAAAAAAAGAAAGGCCTCATTTGATTAGGTTTTAGGGATCTGATTATGTATTTTAATCCCTTCCCGTATAGCCCCAAAGCCGCAACAACCTCGTGCTTTGCTAAATACGGTCCACAAACTATCCGTTGAACACTGGAGGAGATCAGGAGCCCAGCTGATTTACCGACAGTTCAAAACAGCTGATTGATGTGAGCAAAGTCCCTCGCGTTCTCAGATGTTCAATTGAATCAATAAGTGATCACCTGACGTAATGTATGATTCAAATAATCAGAACCAGATGTCCATCATACACAGCCTAGTCACGTGATCGTGTGTTATATTTTTCACCTCAATAGCATCAAACGCTACGAGAGAATAACCGTTTGATAAATTTGATATTTTCGCTAATCATGGTCAAATCGCCCCTCCCCCCTTCGTTTTCGTCTCTCCGAAAGCTTTGACAGGGTCAAAACATCAACGTGTATCTCTGGTCAACAAAACAGAACTGACTGTTTCGAGCCACAATTCGGGTGTACAGAAATGTTCCTTGAGAAAGCGGAACAGATCGCCAGCCGTCAGTTCAAGGATTTTCGTAAGAAACACAAAAAATTTGATCATGGCATCGATGATGTGAGTGTCGAGTTGGATAAATTCTGTCGCTTTTTATTGTCCGTCATTTTTAAATTGCCGCCCGTTATAATTTAGTTCAGGTAAAGGTTCATTTGAATTAAGCCTGACTCCCCGAATTACCGATTTCCATAAAATGATTTTGAGCCTGCAGTAACCGATCACGTAGTGGCTAGCTGTTCCCCTCTGGAGTGACCATTCTCAGGAGGGGCCGCTAAGCAGGAAAAAACACTTACAGCTAGTCGCTTGAAGCACATTAATTAATTCCCTCTCAGAAGAAACTACCCTTGAAATGTTGGATTTTAATGAACGGTTACGTTAATTCTAGCCCCTCACAAGTTGATATGAGTCAAGAGTTTAATTACCGTTTTTTGCTTTGTATAAGTAAGGTATCCAAAACAACCCATCAAGGTAAGAGCCTGAATCAGACTGCTGTAACAAAAACATACCTAAGTTGGTGTGAAATCACATCTGAATCGCTGTATCGCTGCACAGGCGCTATCAAGCTGTTCGATCTAATCTGGAAACAAGATTTTACTGAACCCAGCGAATCAGCAACCAAGCTTTGTTTGAAATCGTTCACATGTTACCTCCATCAGCATCCTGGATTGACATCTTAATGGGCCGAGAATTTCCGTACTGAATCGATTGCTCACTGTACAGTAGGCCGGGTTGGGTCACGAACTTTTTTGTTCCAGTCAACTCGCGCAACCTTGCGCGCAACCTCAGAATGGATCGTATATTCTGGACTTGAGCAATCATGAGGGCGATGGGCTACCGAGTTGCCCGAGTACGAATCGAAAATCCAAGGTTGGGCAGGAGCCAATGCTTATATTTCTCACCTAATGCGAGTAAGAATCGGAAACCGATATCAGCTGATCAAAACATACTAAGCGCAATTAAAGTACGGGATAGGTCAATCTTACATGGCTGTGCGGATGGGATCATGTGCATTTCCATTGGTTCCGACCTTTCTGTGACGCGACTTTTTCGCCAAGTGGTCGCCTCCACCCCCACATTTCCGAATAATTGGGTTCAAGTATAACATAAGGTTGACGGGAACTCGGGGACTGCGCCTACCTGATGAGCCCCAAGAAGGGCAAAACCGGTCGTGGGCTGTCGAAGAGTTTTCAGCAACTGTGTGAGTAGTTTCCCTAATGAAAGTTCGTGATCCTGTTTATTCTCCGTCACGTGGAATTCGTCAGAGGTCCCGGTCCAACAATCTTGACTAACTTGGATGACAGAAGCTGACGATTTGACCATACTTAAATTTTCATGTTACCACTCAAAGCAATGTGTACAGCTCTGGGGGACAATAAGCTCCTAAATCCTGATAGCCAACGAGTGTCTAGTCGGGAATAGTTTATCCCGTTCTATCCGAAGGGTTGAAGTGTAATGGTGTCAGGACGCGCCCAGACATGGAAAAAGTACATATGCAGAGAGTGACGCGTCACCAAGGTCACCATCGGTACGACGCGTTTCGGATGGCAGGTGCGCTGGCGAAGCCCACCAAACACGGCTTCGCAACATGAGACCAGTGGAGTGGGGCTGAAAGTGTTCACGACCGGAACACCACCATTGGCTGTATGGAGCGAACAAGTGAACGACCATATTTGGCCATTTAGTCATCCTATATATTTACGCAGACGCTCTGTATGTTTTGTCCTGACAATACAGTCGTGTCCCGAGTTCTCCGTCTTCTCCTTATCGCATAGTCTGGCAGGCGTAACCAATAGACGGCCGCCCACGTTACAACAAATGGGTTTTGGTGTTGCTCACACTGCCAACTGCGCATTTTCATCACTGACTACGGGCGGTAGGTGTACTTTGGGCCGCTTATCGCGTTTACATGTTCTACACACCTCTGACATGTAAGCTTCATTCATTATTCACCTTGAAGTGTCAGCACCTCACTTATAGTACGTATTCAGGGCGGCCGTAGGAAGCAGATTGACCGTGGCTCTTAGGTTCCATCGCCTACACACACACACACACACATTGAGTTGCATTTCTTTGTCAGCAAGTTGTGAACAATGCCAGCGCCACCAGTGGTTCTGTTGCAGAGCTCACTAGCGTACCAGATGTTTCCTCACCGGGGCAAATGATTTCCGTCCATGGCAATGATTCTGCACAGCTACTTGGGCTTCTGGTGTGACAGCTTGGAAAGTGTCAGTAGTATATAGCCGTAATACGCCTGCTTTCATCCCTTTCTGCGGTTCTAAACGGCTTTCCTGTACATTCCGCAAAACTGTCGTTCCTTAATTACTGAGCGTGTAGACCAAACTTGGTCAATCACGACTCTTGAGTCGATCACTCGGCTGAAATGTATTCATCACTCACTACTACCATCCATTGTTAGTTGTGTAGGTCATGGTTGTACGAGGGCTGGGATACTGCCAGGGCGCCGACACCTAGACAGGTGGACGATTAGGGTCCTCAACCAAAGCCTTTGGCTCAAAAGCCTAACCGCATGACATTGGTGTTTGGTGGGGAAATGCAAATGAATTATCATTTCTACGGAACAAGTCGCCATACATGTTCCAACCCCCATCCTGGAGGGCCAAGAGACTGTGTTCGTCAGGCCTCTAACCATTGACCAACCTGGTATGAGAGACTCTGTGAGTGTCGCGGGAAAACCATCCAGTACAGCTCAATGGATCGCTGAGGTGCGCAAACCGTCACACTACGGTAAGGTCCAGTCTCTTCGTGACGGGTTGGTGTTGGCGAATCCGTAACGAGGCAGTTAGAAAGCGCGTTTTCGGTTGTGCAACGGGTACTTCCATTGAAGAATGTGTCCAGCACCAGAAGCTGCGCTGGTTGGGACATGTGTTGCGTATGCCGAACCATCGTTTGCCGACGAGAGTACTGTTTTCCATGCCCAATTCGGAGTGGCGTAAACAGAGAGGTGGCCAACCCTTGACTTGGCAGGGAGTATGAAGGAGATCACGAAACGCTTTGGTGCTGTCGGTGCTACTCGCCTTCCAGGATGGGGACCGCGTGATCCTCACTGTGCCTGGTTGGAGACACTCCAAGATATGGCTAACCAACCGATATCAGTGGCGTTCTTGTTGTCAGTTTCCATCTAGATCGTTTGAGTGTATGTCTGGAGATATAGGCACCTCGAAGTGATTGTGTTAAGCTAGCACTAAGTCCCTCCCCCGTCCACCTTTACTCTTTTCTTTACGATAAGGCTTTCAAATAAGTCATGGTTGTACGGCAGTGCAGCATCGGTGTTGAACACTGATGTCACGCTGTCGATGATGATGATGACTACCATCCATGTCTTGATCTCTGAAGTACACCGTCAGCTCACACACCTTGAACACGAATAAAACAGTAGTTCGTCCAAAAGCAAGATCGATTCCGTTTCACTTACTACCCAGAGTTGCGAACACTAAGACAGAACATATCATTGTCCCAGATGTGCTGCTGTGACCGACACTTGCATGTGGAACCTGTTTTCAGTAATGCGGGAAGCATGGGTGCACTTCAGTTAGCTTCAAAAAAGTTATTCTAGCGCGGACTACTGATGAATGACTGCAACGTCACATGAGCTATTGTCACGTGGGCAAACTGGCGCAGCCAATAGGGTCATTGTGCCAGTGCTCAGTTGGTCTGCAGTGAGAAGTGATCCGCTGGAGGCAGTTGCAGGATAGGTAGATTTCGCATTCACATCACTCTTGTTTGAAAAGTGTTGCACATCTGCCCACACAGTTATTCTGGCGAGTGCACCAGCGCACCCTGAACACCTGAGTCATCGCCCATTCTTGAGTCACCTTACCGGTTGGTCTAACGCCTAGAAGGATGATCCGGTGACTGTCCTAGTTGTATTGATCGAGTGCCTTGTCTGTCAGGTCGAAACTAGTGAACGGTTTTGCGATTGGTTGTAGGTATTTGTAGGGTTTGGTGAACCTCCCAGTTCATATCTCTTTCGTTTGAACAATCTACCTCCTGTCTTGGTGCAATTATTCTAGTAAGCCCATATGAAGAGGAGTGGGGGGGGGAAGCTTTAGAATCGGGCTTGGCTCCTGTCAGAGCACTGTTTTGTGGTTCGAACTCCGAACATCTGGCATGCGAGACGAGTCTGCATTTCAATTGTTCGGGGCTTGAAACATTCAGTGCACTTTAGTGTGGCAATTGTCCGACCAGCCTGGATCAAAATTGAGAGCAAAGTGTATGCCATCTAATCACTAAGGTTAATTAGGCACTGTCTCACGAAAAACCTTGGTTCAGTGGTCTGAACCCGTGCGTATGTTGCCCATCAAGCATGAAAGCAGTGCTTTCAATTCTAGCCATTCAGCCACAGGATTCAACAGCCCGTGCTCCGGACAAGCCTGGGTGTTTTGTTACTACTATGCGAGCTAGAATTATACGTCGAAAAGACAGCATATGGGCGAGACCATTCTCGTGCAATAGAAACTACCATTTCGGCTAGCAGCATTCTTCCGTTTTTCCGTCTGATCGGCCGAACCCGGGAAACATGTTGCTGATTCTGTGGGGCTTATCAAAACGAACAAGGGAACTAAAATCAACAAATACCTGTACGCCATGGTCTCTACTCCTCCCCCGAATACTTTGGATCTCAAATTGGAATAGCAACCATCCTAAACTCGCTGACTTTGTCTAAAAAATCTGCCCCCTGTGCGATCGCCAAATTCCGGCAACAACGCCGCAAAATTCGGGCGGCAAAATGATGTAGTGTGAACTGGGCCCACATCATAACGCCCGTTCAAGCACGCAAGGCGCCAGTCACGAAAACCAACGGGCCTTGGACCGTGTGATCGATAGTGGTCCAGCTTGGTGCCTGTCGTCTTAGAGCCGAAGCGTCTATCACTTCATCCAGCCGAAGTAGCGCCCCCCCGTTACCGTACACCACAACGCGGTCCGCCTTAGCTTCTCCCACGGTTGTGGGTTTCACTTGGACGTACGTTGATCAAGGGTGTGACCACGGCAGTCAGGTGTGCGCATGAGAGTCAATGCGGAAGCGCTATCAACGCGTCACAGCATTAACAATCAGTCAGTGCCCTGATTAAGCTTGAATGTGTTCGGTTAGTATCACACCTATGATAAGAACATGACTCAGTTCAGCAATAGTCCTAATGCCGCCTTCGCATGATGTCATTAGGCGAGGTGCCTTCGACGGGACGGAAAGATGAAACTCCGCTGCAACTGCCCCAAAGCACGTTCAATTATCAATTTGGCTTTTTCGAGAGACTCACCTGGAACCCAGCTGAATCTCTCGTTTATGATGTTCTCAGGCAACAGAATGCGCTGCACCAGGCCGCCTCATGTTTCAGTCGCTACGATATTTGAAATATCGCGATAACATAAGGTTGACGGAAACCCGGGGACTGCGCCTACCTGATGAGCCCCAAAAAGGGCGAAACCGGTCGTGGGCTGTCAACGGATTTCCAGCAACCTTATGAGTAGTACATTACAAAGATATACATGTATGGTCGTTGGCTTGTTCGCTACGCACTGATGATGTCACCTCGATCGGTGATGAAACGTTTGCAACCAAATTGCCCAGCTCAGCGAACAAGCCAACGACCATCTACGTTACCTGAGCTACCGACATTCTCCTCTATAGATATACATGTATCGCGATATCTCGAATATCGTAGCAACTGAAACATGAGGCGGCCTGGTGCAGCACATTCAGTTGCCTGAGAACATCATAAACGAGAGATTCAGCTGGGTTCCAGGTGAGTCTCTCGAAAAAAAACCAAATTAGTTTGCAAATGAGTGTGTTTCGCTAATTTCGTGCAATTTGGTTTCAAGTAGAACATAAGGTTGACGGAAATCCGGGGACTGCGCCTACCTGATGAGCCCCAAGAAGGGCGAAACCGGTCGTGGGCGACGGACGGATTTTCAGCAACCCTATGAGTAGTGCATTACGGACACTGAACCGACTTCTGTTCATGTTGTTTAGATCTTACTGCTGCCTGCCAAAGCTTCATACACATACCATCAGCTCCTGTCGTGGTTCCCAGATGAACAACACTGGAGGCTCAGCTGTTTTAAGTTCAATCACGTGATATCAAGCCAAGCATGACGGTTGAGCTTCATCTTGTTAAGTCGAATAGAACCACTTGAAGCGAGAATATCACATTTTTTGCACACATGGCATTTTAAATTTCTGATGGAGTTACAATAAATGGTTTTACTTCTATGAGTGATTCACATCACTTGCTTTAGGTACACTCTCAGGTCCCTGCGTACCAGATAGGCTAGACTATTTTGAGCAGGTGAGCTGAAATGTCGTACTGATTGCGCCTGTGAAGAATAGGACCTCATCAACGCGCGTGTCGTTTTACTGTTACATCAAATTTCAGTCACTTTAGTTATACTTTTTTTCTTTTTTTTTTTTGGGGGGGGGGGCGAGATGGCTTAAGGGGTTAGAGCGCAATTTTACAAACCGGAAGGTTTATGGTTCGAACCCGACCTTTTTCTCTCGAATTCCCCTGTCGAGGTTTGGGCAACCTGGCAGCCCTCGTGCTTCCTTCGGGTAGCTTGGCAGCTAGGCATCCAAAGGGTGTTACAGCTAAGCACTTTTTAGATGTGTGAGTTTCTTTTACAAAATAGTTTAGAATAGAACAAAACCCCTCACATAAAAATATTCACAACCCTCTGCGAACGGTCTTTTTGACCTTAAGGATGTCACAACTCTCCGGGGTTGAGAACGACTGAAGTTGTAGTGCAATCATCACGTGACAGACAAACAATTTTTGAAAGAACCTTGTGAAACAAGTATTGATTTTTATTTACTTAAGTAAATCTGGGCTCATGAGATGTGGTACGATATTTTGATGTGATACTTTTGCCAGTTTATTGTGAAAAAGAACCTGTAAACTCATTGTTCTACCTCCCTTCTGTGCCCAACCATTGTTCAGTCCTATCCCAGTTCAACAAAACACAAAACGAGAAAGAACAAACATACTGGTCTATTCAATCGGCTACGAGGACGATCGACCAACGGTGAAGGTCAGTAACGATTTGTAAACGATCAATAAGTGGTTGGGTACCCATGCATCACATTTTCTTCTATCTAGGAGTTCTTACTGGGAAATATTACTGTATATTAGAGGAATTCTCGTATAGACTCAACTTCAGGACGAAGAAGAATTGGCCTAATCTTCAGAATTGGATAGCATTTTATGCTGTGAGGCATATTCCCCAAATGGCACTTACTCCCGTTTGGGAGAAGCTCTGGCGAAGCACGATGTCTGTTCAGGACAGTGTATCGTAACTAGACGAGAGTTGCAAAAGAATCACGGGGAGTTAATACATTTCTGTTCACCATACGGGAACCCCCTTAAATAATCTGAACTTCTCCCAGAAAATCAATAGTTTGTTGCTTTTGACCACGACCAAAAAGCAAATATCGATCACAAATAGTGAGTAGTCTGGGGGAATGACCCGCGTCCTTCCTATGTCATCTGTGAAGAACGTTTGCAAGCTAAGTGTCAAGCTCGGCAAACGGATCAGCTGACACCTGGCCAGTAGTCAGTTAACCCGCCCGAGCTACCACCATTCAGACAATATGCACCTCCGCCACTTGGCATGCACAACACGGGCCAGCCACCCTACCTTCAAGTACTGGATGCGTTCCTTGGGCGAAATACCATCCGGTTCACCAAAAACTTATCGCCTCATTGAGAATCGGTTGGTTTCAGCCTATTCTTGCCAGTTTTTTGGCCAACAACCTAAAGATGTCTCAGATCTTCCGCCCAGGATGCCTGTCTGTTGCATATCAGTACAGTCTGTGCTGTAATCCGATTACGGGTCTCTGTAGATGCTGTGATACACCTTTTTGACGCCCAAAGTGACGCGAATTGGGAAACACGACTCCGGCCTATAAGATTCTTGCGTTGACTTCATATGTGTCTCAGAAGCTTCATGGCCAATGCAACTTCCGAGGCACGTACTGCGTTCCACAACTTCCAATGTCACTGAAAACAATGTGTTCTATCTGCTGATTCGCCAATCTGAGGTATCTGCTGCTGACCCCACTCCAGTGCCTAGTGCCAGAAAAGAACTCATCGACAAATGTACGCAGCAGCTTGGTTCCAAATAAGGGAGTGCGTGCGAGTGCAAAGGTGGTTATAACGGCCCCGCGCTACTTAAAGGGCATTGATCCTGACATTCATCCAGGCTGTCCGATAGGCGTTAGTGAACACCCGTCAACATCGATCGTGCTTCTATGAAATGCTTGAACACTCATCGGCTTTTGCTGAATTGACTGGCTGTGAAGCGCTGCATATTGAGGGGGCGTTACCTGTCTAGCGCAGCTGAGGGTCTCAGTAGATTTCGGGCATTCGATGGTCGCTTTCAGGACTCTGACCTTCCCCATACAATAAAAAACAGTGGTGACAAAGTCATGGGATGAACACTAAATGATTCGCCAAGCCCCGAAAGCGCAGTGAGACCAATCCGACAGTTGTAATGGGCATGTTTCACCGCTAAAGAAACTCTGATGGCACACTTCATTGGAGTGCAAGAGTTGCGTGAATCGTAAACATGGGGTCTGAGTGAGCCGGCCTGATAGAAAACCATACACAAGACCCACACTTTCGGATCACTTTGGTGAGTTGCAACCACCTCTGCTCTACAAGAGCTATCACTCTACTCATGAGGTTCTTGAAAAATCTTTGACAGCCCACAACCGGTTTCGGCGTTCTTCGAACTTACCAGGTTGGATTTAGTTGAACCTCTCGTTAATAGCAACTTAGTTCGCAAACAAGTTCATAAATTCATCATTCGGCATCTAGTTATTTGTGCTGCTAGGATGGGGATGAATTCGATTTCGATATTCACTTGGCTCCCCGTGTCCACAAGACGTTTTCGGACTGCGGTTGCCAGTTTGAAAGTGACGCGCTCAGATGCATGCTGGTGTTTCACCGAAGTAGCGTGCTCCACAAGACCAAGAGACGTGGCTAGATAAGGAAGCGCTCTCAACATCGGATGACTGGTAAACCTTGGACGAAAAAAATGCGTGTTTAAACGCCCTGTTTAGTTTACGACTGATGGCTAAACACCCAAACCATCCTTAAAAGGTAAACTGACTTTCGTGGGCTATCTACGGTTAAGAGCTTTTGTGTAATGGTTCTATCGGGAAGGTCAGATTGCTGAAAGTGACGACTGAATGTCCGAAATCTACTGAGACCCTCAACTTCACTAGATGTCGACCAGACAGACAACGCCCTCCTAAATATGCAGTGCGTACCAAAGTCAGAGAGTGTGAATCAGCATTGGACCAAGTTGGGATCGTGCCCCTCCCGTAAAACAGCTTAGGGCCGTTGTATTTTAGCACTCGCTTGTTCGGAATAGAGCTGTTGTGTTCTGTTTGGTGAGTCTTTTTTCCAGCACTGGGTACCGGAGTGGGGTCAGCAATCATATACAACAGATTGGCGACTCAGCAGATATTAGACAGTCTCACTCACGCTAACGAAGAGAACTCAATTCCATCTCAGCTCCAATTCTCGTTTATTTTATTCCCGCCTGGCTCCCATGTTTCTTTTCAAAAACCGGGAGTTGCGTTCATGAAGTGTATCTCTTCAATGCAGTCGTGTAATGGTCTGCCCAAGTAGGCTTTCGGTAGACACTCCGTACATATCCGTTACTTCGTCAGGTAACCCCACAGTGAAAGCAAGGTCGGTCTCTCGCTTATTTTCACAAGTAGACTTATCAGCTAGACGACCAGTGGTAAATTTGTTAAATATTCTAATAGGATCTTAAACTTCGACATCTCGTAAGGGAGTATCATTCACAGATTACAGGTGAAGAGATTTATCATCTCAACATTGCGTACTCCAATTCAGCCACAAATATATCGACAAGAATACGAACTGAAGCGATCCTATTATATCACAACATCTGTTTTGCCTGTAAACAGAAATTTCGCGCCCTTTGCACGGCGTAACATTAATTCAAGCGATGGGACTTCTATATCGATACTGTTCGGCTGGATCAACTCTCCTGTACAGTCAAAAACCTCCGGTATCTCGCAAAATCATCATCTGACGCGAGGTTTTTGGGTCAGATATCGATAAGGCGTTTCCGCTCGCGGGCCTATCCTTCAGTGGTTTCAGGTATATGTAATCTACTGTTGGTAGTGTGAGGAGATTCTCGAATTTTCAATCAGCCAATGCTAAAAAGCTAAGAAGCACTGGATAACTGTTTCATCCCCATTGGGAGTCATCAGCAGTGTGCATCTTTCGAAGCTCGATGAAGCTTCGAACCCGAAACCTGCCAACTGGTAGCCTGAACAATTAATCGGCTCACCTTGAGTGGCGTGAGGTCACGAGTTCAAAACTTCCCGAGGGTTCTTGAGATGCGCACTGCTGATGATTCCGTAAACAACTGTACAGTGGTTCTTGGCACTTTAGTATGATTTGGCTTCACTTAGAAGACGAAGCCCCACTGGAAATATGTTTATCAATTTTTGACGACGTCCGCGAAACACTGTTCGGGTGCTCATATAGACCCAATTCAAAACATGCCTCTGATAGATTTGGTGAAACGTCATTGACAGCCTTCTACCTACCAGTGTAACGGTGATACTACTGATGGGAGTGGCATGCGAGTAGCATGTCTTCTCGCAAATTTGTGTCCCGTCCCTTGAAAAGTGAAATCTGTTACGGAATTCGCGGAGTCGCTCTGTAGCATTGGCTTGCAATTGAGTAACAGTCATTGAATATCCAGGAAAGTTCAGGAAGACGCGTTCAAGGAGAAGATGGATATTCCGTTTTTGTAAACAAGATGCATATGAGAGTTTTGCTTCCCTGTCCAATAGTCCGTAACCGTTCAGTTGACATTTCCTCATAAGTAACTCTACAGCGAAGGCCTTCTTCCTTTCACCAGTACCACCGTATATGACTCCGGATTGGCCCGATTTACCTCCGTCCACTACTCATGAGTAGCTTTTCTTTGCACCCAAACTCTATTTAAGTAAGCCTCAATTAAAATAGCCACTCCAGTTAAGTTCAGTCTACTTCATCACCCGATTTTGTCCATTCTACGAGGCCCCTAATTAAAGTAGCCAACTCAAATTTAGTTCTCAGCTTCCGCAAATTCGTCTGCATGGCCCACTACTGAGTACCGACCATCTCTAATTGTCACGCGCAACTTTCGGTAAATTACGTTTCTTAGATGTTGAAGGACACATCTGTTTCTGAGTTGTATTCTTAGTGCTACTTTTGACCGCTTGTACGCGACAGTGATCAATAGAGCAGCTGGCTCGCACGTCCGTTGGCTTTTATGGTTTGGTCAAGCGCACCAGGCGATCAAGCGGCTATCCAGACCGGGGTTCACGGTAAAAAGAAGGCATTAAGTGGCTGTGGTCCATAACAGGTTCTATATCACAATGTTTCCTGGAAAATAGGAAGATGTTGCAGAGATTCAGTGGTCTTTCTTAAGCGGTGGCATTATTCTATGGTACACATTTTTGGATCCTCCTAACCAACTGCAACTCATGTTCCAGGATGAACAGGGACACCAGATTTGAACAGTTTGGTCGATTGATTACTTGCTTTGTAGCCTTTGTTGAGCCGAGCACGCTAACCTCATATAGCCTGCCAGCACATTGTTGAGCCGAGCACGCTAACCTCATATAACCTGCCTGCCCCCACGAAAAGCTTTCTCATGATTGTTCTTCACTAGAACCTAGCTGTTGAGTGCAAATCTATCGCTGACGCTGGAGCTTCTGAACATTTCTCGGTCGCAGTCACTGAATGCGAGACCATAAAGTCGTTTTCGCCCAATTAATCACAAGCACTGTCCATGTTTTGATTTAGTGTCCAGTGACTCACCGTTATTTGCAGACTTTCACTTGCATTTTGGACAGTCGTTGTGAGTTCGTACAAATAAAGGATCTAGGGCTGAAGATCATTGATAGCGACATGAACAGCAAAGTTGGACATAAGAAATATCATATTCTGAAACTTACGGACGATGTCATCAGTCAGAAACACTTGCGACTAAACATTCCTTATGTGCTTCCATGTCGACACCGTCTTAAGGTCACATTCGGGTCACTCCTGGAAGCAGCGATGCTCAGAGACGAAAGCTTGGCTACTAATTTTAGAAAGGTCTGCATTTGAGCACAATCACTTTTGCTTTGGTTTACGTCATCGCATGGTTACTACATTGTCACTTCCACTTGCTCAGATTCACCAGTGCTCAAACTATCCGAGTAGAACAAATAGTGATTGAGCCCTTCGACGAATCATCGTTGAGTAATACCTTCAAAAGCTGGTGAATTGGAGCATGTTTCGAATGCTACATGTGTTCCCAGACGGAATCGTTGAAGCTTACACATCTTTTCCACCATACGTTCACAGCGACTTCCATAGCCATTCTACCGGCAGATCGCACTACTGGAACCTACATGCAGTTCTTTCAGACTGATATAAAAAACGTTTAATCCTTGTGGCAATCAAGTTGTTGTGCTCACACTGTTGAGACATTGACTACGGACGCCGCTTCGATGCTATCTAAGACCATAGATTAGAGGGAACAAAAATGCTTCTGTACTTTGTGCTAAGGTCATTGGAATAGCGCATAGGTTTCTTCATTCTGAGGTATCACTTTCCTTCAACTTACTGTGATTTATTTGTGGAAATCTGAAATCTGAATCGGTGATGGTGGAAATCTGAAATCTGAAATCGGTGATGATCGCCCAGTTGGCTAGGTTCGTTGCCATTCCTTGAGCTGGCTAAAGATTGGTCAGTAAAGGGTCAGCTGTGGCCTTCGGTATTCTTTCCCGCCCTCCTTAAACGAAACTCGCGATTCCGATGGGCTGCTCCTGTGACAGGCCACATCGATTCATTCAAAAACAAATGCTGAAAGTCTGATGAATACGCTTGCAATAAGTCTTGCGCCGAACTTGGCCGAACAGCAATACTCGAAATGAGTGCTGCACTAAAAGGAAAGCCCTGTGTAGGACAAGCGTGACTGCAACGATCGTCCGTCTCAGTTTCGTCCGCTACTTTCGTGGCTGTCGCAACAGCTGAAGACAACCCTGGGTTTCCATGATGCCAACGCCTTCACTGTGTGTAATAAGGCTTGACCTTGAGCATGACCTTGACGCACCCAGTTTGCCAGACAGCATGTCTACAAATTGTATGAGAACCGGCAGGTCGATATTGATCGTTGTCTGGTTCACGTGATGGTGGTGGTGGTGGTACCGAGACCTTGAAAGCTCGATGGACGGCCAAAGGCCCCTATATCGCTTGGGTGGTTGGTGCGACACGGAAGTGGGACTGATCCCTCTGCCTCAGCATATACCTAATACGATCAAGGCCAGCGATGAGAAACGTATGAAGATGGACGCGACAGAACGCCTTGCAAAATCACAGGAATGAGCGCAAAACGAGCCCTTATTTGGCCCTTGAACATCGAATGCATATAGATGTTTGAAAATACAACAGAAGCGCGATATTACTGTATACTGTCTGACACCATGGTTCGTTCGATGGACCTATGGTTCCCGGCTAATTTGGCAATCGCAACTGAGCCAATCGAGTTACGAGGACGCTGACCTTCAATCAACCAATCACATAAAGCGAAATTAGATACCCCCTAGGGTCCATATAGGTGCATCCAGACAAGGAGAAAGCAGTGACGCCGTTCCTGCAACTAGTGACGAAACTTTTCCAATCACGCCCGGCGAACAGATTACCACATCTCTGGCCCACGATGACTAAACTACCAATAGTTCATTAAACGCTACTCACCCCACCAGAAGTACAAAATGTGCCTGCCATATAGCTAATCCCCCAACTGTTGTCGTTACTTTCGCCTTGGTATGCACCCTTGAGCAATGTACCAGCCTTTCACATGGTGTGACAGCGGGGACCGCTGTGATTCTAATTAATGGCCAGAAGCAAATCATACTGTGTGATCAATTTTAGTTACTCCTAGTTGCATCGGAGAGTCATATATATTGAGCGTTCAAGAGATGCTAGCGACATTGTTGGATCCGGTGTAAAGTGAACTCTAATTCGAACTGAAGGCTGTTTTCAATCTGCCTGTTGATTTTCAGGCTATTTCGAACTCGTTCTTTCCAACGGCATTCATGTTATTCCTTTCATGGTGTCCCTCAAGTTATTTGTCGGAATTTATTGGTCCATCCTTTGGAATTCTAGTCCGATAAACTGCACGCTCCCATTGAAATTGACCGACTTGCACCAGAAGAAACGTGCTGCGACAGCGGTAAAACCCAGCGCCTGCTGCACAAGAACACCAAAGGGGCTTACACTCAGACATTTATTAGGCCGGTTTAGTTTTGCTAATCAGACTACTGATAACCAGATCGGAAGTAGTGGAGCCACTGTCATCAATTTCCTACCAAAAGTTCGAAAATAACTTACAAGTAGGAGCCAGCCAGAGTTCAAATGTACAAGGAACACAAAACGTGTGATGAGATGAACCATTAAATAGTGTATTGTAACTAACTGATGTCCCCGCTTTAGTGCCTTAGTTTCGGAAAAAGACTCACCAACAACGAATACAACAGCTTGGTTGCGAAAAAACGAGTGCAAGGATTACAAGGGGCTACACGTGGCACCCTTTTTGACCTTGAATCCAGGCTATCCAATCGCAGAAGGGTGAGCACTCATCACTGCCGTGATCCTCCAGAATGTTGGGTTCTGATTTGGATGATGTGAGTAAAACTACTGAGGCATGATAACGATTGGTTTTCATCGCTATTCGTGGAATGAAATCACGAATACTGTACTGCAATGGAAAACTTTAAACCTGACTGTCACAATACAGTGGATGAGACAGGCACACGTTTCAGATAGATCTCTCGGTGTTTTCACAACATGAAGCTGATAGCACAGATAGCAAAGACATCAATCGCTCCACCAGATCAGTGCTATTGTCCTAGCGAGTGACAAATGTGAACGTTATAAGTCCAGGCTGTCACTAGCAGAGATGCAGACTAAAATGAACTTTCACAAACCGGTCCTTCGTGTGTCTTCGGGTTCGTAGGTGGAAAGTGCAAGTGATGCCCGAGAAAGTATACACGGACTCAAGTTGTTCGAAGGACTAATGAAGTTTCGCTTAAAGCCTGAGCAGAGAATCAGAATTCTTTCGGGTTATGCTGTTATTGTGGCTGGCCAACATCCAGCTGTGGTTAGGTACAGTCATGTGAGAGGCAAATGAAACGGTAAATTCGAAATGATCGCCTGGCTATGAACAAACGCGACTTGTGAATTTACACGGCAGTGAAGCGGATGTATTTCTTGGCGAGATTAACTCTTTCACGTAATGAATACGCACGCGGTACGTGGATCGTTTAAGTTCCGGATTGTGTTCTCTGAATGATTACGTAACGCCGCACTTTTGGACTCTCCACAAGCTAACGAGGTGACAAACTTGAAGTCACTGCAGCTGGAGCTTAAGTGGTGCTCTTTTCCAAACTCCACAAGTCTAGTTGGCGAAAACTGAAGTCAGTCGTTCTTATTTTTAATTGAATCCGTAGGAAATTGTGCGACCGTTTCACCGTCAACAGTGCACGTCTCACGAAACGTCGGCAAGGAGTTTCGGACCCGCGACCTCCCGGCTAGTAGTTTGAACTCTTCACCGTTCGACCACGAGCGGCTGTTCAGCAGTGTGAGTAACTCGCACCTAGACAGGATATAGCGCCGCTCATCCTTCAATCACGGGATCCACATCACGTGGTCACCAATGTTGACTGGCTCCTCGAGCAACGATTGCTCAGATGGAAGTTTCACTCATCGGGTGAAGTTTATTCTTCCACTGACCTACCTGTAAATTGTCTGTAGTGTGAGGAAATTTGGGAGCCAAACGGAAGGTCGCGGATCCGAGACTTTCTGGAGTTTCGTGAGGCGCGAACTACCGATGATTCCCAATAAGGATGAAAGAGCTTCTCGACTTTTCAGGACTTACAGGACGAAATTTCTAGCAAAAGTCCCAAATGTCCACATACTACTAACAGTTGCAATCAATTTATACACCTGATGCACTTGAATTGTAAAAATGGATCAATAACTCACTCAGTTTTTGGAACAGTTTGAGTGTTGCTTGCTTGGAGCCAAAAACAATCAGTTGATCACCGAATTTAGTCATATTTATCAGTAATACTTTGGAAGAGCACAAGATAATCTGTCAAGCGATGTACAAATTTGAGATATTCCATTTACTGTATTCACCTTGCATGCGTCAATTCCCCTAAAAGGAACAGATGGAAGGTTTTCGCACTGCCATTTGTCCATGAGTTTCAGAATACTACTTATCATTCCGTTTTCAACTCAAATTCAGGTTCATCGACCAGCAGTTCACCTACAAGCACACTCGATCAGAGGTCCATGCCTCGCTGGAATTCAGCGTGCGGTATCGGTGTCATCCCTGACGGGCGTGCTGGATCTTCGGACCCTGGAACACGATCCAACACCTTGACTAACCACTCACGGTGCCGCTCGGCTTCTTCTTCACCGGTACATTCCATAAATGAAAGTGAAGATGAGTTGAGCACATCAATAACTTCGAACGATACAGTAGTTAAGCAAGAAATGATGCGAATCCAGCGAGCTGGATCGGTGGGAGATGGCCAAACTAGTATACGCGACGGCTCCAGTGACCGCTCCCAATCACGTGACTCTACGGCAACTTTTTCTTTTCGTAGTGAAACAATCGATGACACGGCGAGCACCCGCATAACGGACCGAATACAGTCCGACATACCAACACTAGACTACGAAATAGCGCGCGTAAGTATTTTTTTCGAACACAAAACATCTGCATCGGTCCACATTGACAGGGAGATTAGTCTCTCAGACGGATTTTGATACTAAAGCTTCGCCAGGTCAAATGTATTACATCTATATAGTGTTTCTGCGATAACTCGAATATCGTGCCAAATGAAACATGGGGCGGCCTTGTGCAGCATATTCAGTTGCTTATAAAACATAAACGAGAGATTCAACTGGGTTCTAGATGAGCCTTCCGTCAAAACTAATCTTGTATGCGAATGAGTGTATTTTGCCAAGTTTTGATCCAATTGGAACATAAGGTTGACGGAAACTCGGAGACTGAGCCTACCTGATGAGTCCGAAGAAAGGCGAAACCGGTCGTGGGCTATCTCCAGCAGCCTTATGAGTAGTGCATTACGTCTGTACGTCTAATTCTGTTTCGCAGGTCACTCGTCTGGCCTAATCATATCTCTTATCTGTCACAATGGTACACTTGTCTGAATTTAAGCCTGTTTTCCATTCAGAATTATCCCGAAGATGTAAACTGGATAAAGTTAGGCATTCCTTGATACAATACAGTCCTTAAGCCGCACGATGTTACTGCCACTCCTGTGTGTCGAGGAGGAAAACTTGGTTCCACAACAGTTCTTAGATAGGTCCTCTAATTGGTGTCTACTGCAGGTTCGAACAAAGATCACCAGTTTAATGGCTGAGAACCAGTTCATTTTAATCGCAGTTCATCTGAGCACCACTGAAGTATCTAGGATTTGATAACAGAATTGTACATTCACGCTCATGTGAGAGCTATTTGGCTCGGCGGCGCGCCAAAACAAAGCTTGAGTTGCCGAAACAGAATCCATCGTCAGACCCCAAGCGTTACATGCGCTCACAATCACATGACCAGGTCGATCTTGTGAACAGACAGAAAAAGCTGTCCTCTCATTCGCTCGGCTCCAGTGTGGCTGATACACACGATCGATATTCGAGCTCATGAGGAACATGATTGGCCGTTAAACTTGTGACAAACTGTCACGCTGCTACTACCACCAAACTGTGTAGTATATTTGCCACTGTTTCTCCGAGTATGAAGTAAATTGCCAACATACATAGAGATTCCTAAAATGCCCAATTCGACGCAGTCATCTCCAGTGGAATTACCCAGGAGGAATGCTATCGCCAGCGTAGATACACCTGATCGATTAATCCGGCGTCGAAGCTCTAGTGTTGATGGGGACAGAACACCACATATGGACGTGAGTAGCCCAAGTTTTGGTGCGTGCTTGATGGTGGACAGCTTAAACAAGATAGCGGAACAACGGTGCATGTCGTTAAGAGCACTAGATGGTGATGATTCAGATACGGCAGTCGAAGAAGAACAAGATAAAACATCAAGCAGTGGCAAAAAAGTCAAAAAGCCTTTGATCAAATGGACAGCAAAGTCACTTCGAAAACCCAAAGATGCTCCAAAGACCATCAGTTCAAAGGAAACACAGGAAGACTCATTGCAAGCATCAGAAGTCTCCGCTGGTCACGACAGTGATCTAGATCCCCAAAGTCCGAGGTCCTCGATGACATCTGAAGATATTTCAGAGGTAGGATGATGAAGTGCTGTTGTATGGAAATTATTCGTTTGTCTCTTTTGTTACTATTTACACCTTTTTCGTACCGATTTTGCTGTGTAAATGATAGAAGTAAGGTGGAGGTTGACGGAAACTCGGGGACTGTGCCTACCTGATGGGCCCAAGAAGGGCGAAACCGGTCGTGGGCTGTCAAAGAGTTTTCAGCAACCTTGTGAGTAGTTTCCTTTATAAAAATAAGGTGAAGGACTGTTCAGAAGATCATTCAAACAAAGGAACTACCAGTAAAGTAACAACACAAGCACTGGATTCATTTATGTATCTAGTTAAGCGGTGCCCGCGAGAAATCCTTCCTGGAACGGCGAATTCATTAAAAAGAAGACTGTCAGACCGCCCGCTTCAACACGTACTTTTTTCTACGTACTATGCACAAAAACGGCGAGTTTAGCTTTTAAAATACTCAGGTGGAGAGAAGTTGGGCAATAAGTCGTTAATAACGGTCCATTGGTTTAAACACTGACAACACTGTCACTTGACACCGCTGAACCAGTCGGAAAGTGCACCTGAGCAAATCATTTTTATGTGTTAGCATCGGTAGAAAGAATAATCCAGCACGAAAAAGTTACCTAGAGCAGACACATGAGATGTCAAGTCTACATTCAGGAGATGCTGTTTAACTTTCTAAGGTAACCGTGTCTGTTTAACTTTTCTCCGTCTTGCTATGACATCCATATCAGTGCCAGCTTTGAAATGGACACCTGACTCAGTATCTCAGAGCAAGTGCCTCTTTTCGGAAGAGTATATATTCTTCTATTTTGGAGAATTCGACCCCGGGTGTATAGCTACAGTGTGAATTCGTGATCCTGGGGAGCGATGACTGTTTGAGTTGTGTGAACAGCTGAACTAACTGAATATGGGTAGCTCGGATGCGCTGACTGGTTATCATCCTGTTCACTGGACCAGAATGCAAACATTCTGTCGCCAATCTGAGGAACACGCTCAGCGTGCAGTTGGGTTGGGTACCCAACCCGCATTGGCGAGTCTCAGCAACGCCGAATAATATGAACTTTCTCGCAATCTAGTTGAAATTTGTCTCTCAGTCACATCAGGAACTCGGTACCCACATTCCAGTGCACCATGTGCTGCCGAAAGCATCGACTGGTTAAACATTACAAGGTTTGAAGGCATTGTCTGCTCGCCGTAATTTCTATTATGACGGGTACGATTTCGTGCGTACGATATAGAAGGAAAGGCAGCAACTACAGCCTGAAACGTTGATATGTTGTTGAGGAGAGATGGCTCAGTGGTTAGAGCGCGAATTTACTGACCGGAAGGTCCGTGATTCGAACCCGGCCTCTACATCTCGACTTCCCCTGTCTAGGTTTGGGCAACCTGGCACAGTATCCCAGCCCTCGTGCTTCTTTCGGTTGGCATGGCAGTTAGGCACCGATAGAATGCTACAGCCGAAAGAATATATTTTTTATCTCTAAATCACAGTTGAAGCGGAGAAATGGCAGAGACGATCTAACTAAAATCCGTTGACTATAAATGAAGGAGAATATGGCAAGATTTGTTCCAGTAAAGAACTGGAAATCGGGTGCGATCCAAATAGTAAAACCGCTACGCGATATTCCTCCTAAGCCGAGTGAGAAGTTGAGAGTCCGCACCAGCTAACAACGACAACCATAGAAAATCAAGATGAAGGTAACGTCGAGGTCTTATAAGGAATTATTTTTGTGTTGTCGTGAACTGGAACCTTCCCATTCGAAGCTATCTCGCAACTTATGGAGGTGGCTGTCGACCTATTCCCGTCGATTTAGCATCTGTGAGTCAAGTTGAACAGATCAAATTCGCTGAACTCTTCAGGCAATCGGCTCCAATGCATGGTTGTCCTTCCGACATTCTCCTTATTCCGAGTAAACGGAACAATATCAGCTTGGACCAATGAGCCTTTAAGCATGTTATTCTGTCTGAGGTGCTAGCCCCACGTGGAACACGCATCTGAAATCACAGGATTCATTTCCAGGTAGCGGTCGGCCCTCACTCATATGTGCCTTCATGATATTTTCAGTCATCTAAATGAATCTTTATCTTCACCGTCAGTCCACACTGACTGATGACGTCGGGAAGAAATTATTTGGAACATAGTAATGCATGATTTTTAAAATGAGTGGGCAAATTAGACCTTCAGTGGCCGTCGAGACAGCACCGGCTTTATGAATCAGCCTGGTATAAGTATGACGGGTGAGGTCTAATCATCATTATCAACACTGCCGTAAAACGATACAAATTTATCTCGGAAGAAGAAAGAGATGGGGGAGAAGATCTAAGTTTATCCCCTAGCACTCAATCAGACAGTTGGGATAGAAACTCACAGCTTGAACACCGTTGACATTGGTTAGCCGTCTACACGGAGAGCCACATTGGCCCGATCCTGGAAGATGAACAGCGTCAACAGTGCCCAAACTTTTCGTAACGTCCTTCATTCCCTTCTACCATGTCACCTGAGATAAGGCTTGAAAAACAGTGTTCATTTCAGCGGGCGGCAACTCGACAAACGCGACACATGGCCAGGCCACTCTAGCTCCTATTGCTGGATTCATTCCTTGAGGGAAGTACCCTAAAAACCCATCTCCTGGACATCTTATTGTAAATTCCAGCTGATTCCAGCCATAGTTCTGAGGGATCAGTGGTCAGAGACCTAAAGATATCACGCGTCTTTTGGTACCTGGTGAAATGATTTTTTTTAAACCACGAGTGGTGGGATATATCAGCATTACATTAGTCAAGTGCGAACGTGATGCCTGACTGCTGACCAACTTTATAAGTTTGCAGCTGTCTTGCGAAAGTTCCATCGGCAGTCAAGACAACATCGTCAGAATACAGCTGTGTTCCGTTCACGAAAGAAATCCCATAAGACCACGTGTTCGATCATGTAATCTTCGGACAAACTATCTGAACACGTGGTATCGCAACGCGGATCAACGAATCCTAGGCGCTCAAGCAAGTCCCAACTCGTTATCCGTATTTTTAGTCATTCTCGTCTTGGAGACACACTCTTAAATTAGCGTGTCTGCATCATGAAGTGCAGTGGATTTTGGATTTTTTTAATTGATTTTACACCAAGAAGCACTGTAGAGCTGTCTCATCTTTTTTAGCAATCATCAGCAGCGCATATCTCACCTATCCCGGAGACGATTCGAACCCACGGACTTCCAGGTCAGTAAGCTGAAGACCAAACCAGCGCATTCAGTAATACCATAAAGGAGACACACTCTTAAATTAGCGTGTCTGCATCATGAAGTGCAGTGGATTTTGGATTTTTTTAAATTGATTTTACACCAAGAAGCACTGTAGAGCTGTCTCATCTTTTTTAGCAATCATCAGCAGCGCATATCTCACCTATCCCGGAGACGATTCGAACCCACGGACTTCCAGGTCAGTAAGCTGAAGACCAAACCAGCGCATTCAGTTGTAGAATACCATAAACGAGAGACTCAGTTAAGTCCGTCGTGAAAACCAAATTGATTTGCAAATGAGTGTATTTCTTAAAGACTAAACCGTTTGGTAAGGAACACCTAATCAGCAGTGTGGTCAACTCGAATTTGGACAGCACTCAGCTGGACAGTCTCTATTGGCCGGGATATTGTGAATTTGAAACTCCTTGGACGTACACTGCTGACGATGGAACGGCTGTACAGTGCTTCTCGGCTTTTCTGTATATCTCGGTTTCACTTGCAGGACTAGACTTATGCTGAAAAAATTACAGAATGCCGCCCAACGCATTTCCATTTTCAGATACATCTAAAAACTAAACTACATGATCTGAATGGGAGCCGGAAGCAATGATAATGACCGGATGCACATATAGAACTCATCGTTATCATTAATAACAGTCACCATCAACATCATTCGAATCATCATCATCATCGTCATCATCATCATCATCCGAATCATCATCATCCGAATCATCATCATCAACATCATCATCACTGTCATCATGTTATTTTCAGTCATCTGATTGGATCTTTATCTCCACTGTGAGTCCACACTGGCTGATGACGTCAGGAAGAAATTATGTAGAATATAGTAATGCCTGCTTTTTAAAATGAAAGAGATGAGTTAATTGCGGAAAGAGACCGAAAGTCCCCAAATCTCGTGATGGATCACTGTATTGCCAAGTTTCACTCTGAAATTTCGGTGCACTCCTTGGTGGTCAGGAAGTGTGAAGCACTTGTCCGATTAATGCACCGAGCTCTAATCACTGTCATTTCAACGTGGTGCGTGCAAATTTTTCAAACTGGGACCGTGACCCGCTTTTTCCCGTCCTTAATCATGGTATTATCCATCCTCTGTAGTCCACCAGAAGTGCTCGATGCTTATTTCTCTGATCCGAACAGTTTGGTTATAAAAGTTCCATCACCAATCGATTCGGCATCATCAGTTCGCTCCCCAACAACGCAGGGATGATGTCGCGGGGAACGGCAATGAAGCTTTTCCAGCAAAGCGAAGAAAGCATCTGCTCCACTTTAGCTACTAACACCCTGTCCAATAGCAAGCACAACAAGTGTTCAGCGCCAACAAGTCCCGTTAATCTGTTTCGTTTTTCTCCTCTTTCACCCAGCTTCTTCCTCGCGACGGCTACCTGTGGTCCCTTCGGTTATATTTGAAGTGCGCTCGAAATCTCTTGGTAAAAGGAATACAAGGTTGGTTCATCAGGCGAACGGGTAGACTTGTGAATTCCGTTCATTCGTTTGTAATTAGTAGGGTCTCATTGAATGCGGAACCCTTCGTAGTTAAAATTTGTAAGCTCCATTGTGTTTCACAAAAACAGTCACTCAGTATTGTCTGTGCATGTGTCAAATGACTTTGAAATCCTGCTTTGACCTTCTGTTGCCTTGATCTTCTCGCTTTTGACAGTCTACTGCACTTCCCAGTCCCACTTACTCATACCCTGGTTCGATCTTCTTCTCGCAACCTCTAGGTAAATCGGATTCGTATGTCAAAGTGAAATATCGCGGAAAACGGATCCGACGAACAAAAACCGTCTTCAACGACCGCAACCCCGTTTATGATCAAACCGTCTTCTTCATTGTCAACAATTTGGGATGCCCGATTGAAGTGAGTGAGTTGTTTTCTACTTGGACACGTTTTGGCACCAGATAGTGATGGTGTGGTGGTGATGCTACTGATGGGGGAGACATTGTGAGTAGTATGGTTTCTCGTAAATTCGCTTTGCGGCTCTTGAATAGTGAGATCTATTACGGAATACGTGGAGTCACTTTGTAGCATTCGTTTGGATTTGAGCAACAGTCAAGTGAATATCCAGAAAAGTTCAGGAAGACGCGTTCAAAGAGAGGATGGATATTCAGCTTTTGTAAACAAGATGCATATGAGAGTTTTGCTTCCCTTTCCAGTAGTCTGTAACCGTTCAGTTGGCATTTTCTAATAAGTAATTCCACAGCGAAGGCTTTCTTCCTTTCACTGGTGGCCACATATGAGTGTCAGGTATGTCTTCTACCCTATTCGGAGATACCATTAAAAAAGCCAGAATGTGAGCAACCCTCACTAGCCATGTTGTCAAGCTAGACTGCTCTTTCCTTTAATCTTTAGATATCGTTACTCTCTATAGAAACCCATGTTAAATGGCCGAATATACCCGTGGTAGTCATGGGAACGAACAAAGTAGCGAACAAAGCTTGTTTTCTGTGATTGTTCCTCTGGGCTAATACATCACAAACTTATAGGATACCAGAAATCACGTGGAAAAGGTGAAGATCGGGGCTGCATACACTTTAGAGAGGTGGAAATCAATGGAAGGGGGGTTGAATGAGGGATAGGTCAATGGGTCACGGAATCAGGTAAGTGACGTCAATGTCATACAGACTTGTGGAACTGGATGTTTCGTAGGCCAGTTCAAGTTCAGAGGTCGCACAAGTTTCTTTCGGATGCAAAGTCGCGGATTCAGCAGTCGGATTCCAATCGCCTCTGCGATCGATAGTAGTCCGGATCGTACCAGTCGTGATCAGTTCACGAACCGATCACCTAACGGTTGACCGTGACCGCTGGCGCATTATTTAATACGGTCAAAATACTCCTAAAACTACACAGTGTTGCTGGTCACAAGGCACCCACAGTGCACAGCCAGATTGGGAGTCAGATAACTATCTTACTCCCTGCACCCTTGTGCCAGACTTTTTATTCCTTGGCTCCGGGAGAGGTCACTCAAGGTGCCTCAAGGCTGTCTCGCGCTTCCGACTCACAACAAAACCTTGCTTTCCTCCACTGCCTGCACTGAGTCTGCCAGACTACGCGACAGGGAGAAGACAGAGAACTGGGGACACGGCTGTATTGCCAGGACAAAACGTACAGAGTGTCTGCGTAAATATATGGGATGACTAATAGGCCAATTATGGTCGTTCACTTGTTCGCTCCGTACAGCCGGTCGTGAACACTCTCAGGCCTATTACGCTAAGCCGTGTTTGGTGAGAGCCGCCAACTCACCTACTTTCCGGACGTGTCGAACCAATGGTGGCCTTGGGGATGCGTCACTCTCTGCACATGTGCTTTTACTTCTATCTGGGCGCGCCCTGACATTTCCCCCTTTTGTAAATAGATCGTACGTTGGTTCCTCCCCTCGAGATTTCAACAGGGCTCGTTTAAAATTATCTACAAATCTCTCGGCTTGGCCATTTGATTGAGGGTGGTACGACAAGGACTTAGTGCACGGGCTGCGACCTTCCAAGTTCCTCTTCCAAAACGAGTCAGGCAGCTTTTTGAATATGTCCGGTTTCGTCGCTTGTATCTTGTAACAGATAGTATTCAGTGGCCTGTCCGAAAGGTTTAGCTTGTCAATCCAATCTAATCCACAGAGTTTCAGTAAACTTCCAGATGCAGTGCGTGCAACTTGTTTGGTCCTGGTTAATGCTGGGCTGCCAAGAAATTTCCAAGTTCTTTTTAAGATGATCGTAATGTCTGATGCCGTGTCCAGCTGGAGACGAACAGGTTTGCTGTTAATACGCAGTGATACGTATTTCCTCCTGTTTGCGTGTGGGCTTTGATGAGCGACCAGACCAACGCGAGCCTTCGGAAGCTTGGAATCGGAAGTTCTAGTTCGAGAAGGCCTCCTGGGTGCTTGCCTTCTCTCGCCATGACACCGATCTTCTTTCTATCCCATACGGAAGCACCTGCTGCAGCGGTGTCTTCTGAACGGACAAAAATTGACGAAACGCCACTCACCACATTTCCAGCATGCCGAGGGTGGTTTCTTGTCACCCTGAGGGACAGTATGCTTCCGAATCGCATGAACAGTATTTCTGGGATCACTTTCTTGTATCATGACGGAATCACGCTCCAGATTCATCAGGCGCTGGCATTCCGACGTAATATTCTGTAATGTGACGTCTGGGTTCTGCTCAATCTTGCTGAGGATTCTTGTTCTTATGTCTGTGTCTTCGGGAGACGTCAACCCGCACACAAATATAAGACACTTGAACTCATCCTCTGTCATGCTTCGGAGGTTGAAACGTTCACACTCCTTGTTGACTTTGCCCGCGTATGTAACCCAGTCTTCAGAAGCATTCTTGCTCAAATTCATAGTGAAAACGACGGCTGATTAAAGAGGCCTGTTCTCCGAAGATTGACGATAAAACAGCAACGGTTTCATCGAAAGTCAGGTCACTTGGTTTTCGTTGCAAAATATAGTTTGTAAAGCGTTCATGTTCGGCCACTCCAATTTTCCTGACCAACTGTCTTGCTCTCCAAGAATCTCCTCTGTTTCCCGGATCCAATCTGAAAAAGTCTTCATGCTTATTGAACCAAGAATCAAAAGTAATGCATGAGATCGGATCGAACTGGAATTCGGGAATCGCGTTGAGTATCGTGTCGATCACTGAATTGGACGGCTCAATGGTCTGGCTAATCGGCTTCTGAAGTGACAATTTTTCAGTGAGTGTTTCGGTGAGCTTCAAATGCGCCAGCTCAAACTGTTGCTGCTGCTGTCTGAGGAGAGACTGCATCTGTTCGAATGAAATTGCCATTGTGAACACCCGTCTGGCAGTGTTGTGTTGTGCGGTGACCGAGCTATGGAGTTACGCCTGCACTGCGCCTACCAGACTACGCGATAGGGATTAGACAGAGAACTAGGGACACGGCTGTATTGCCAGGACAAAACGTACAGAGCCTCTGCGTAAATATATAGGATAACTAAGCGGCCAAATATGGTCGTTCACTTGTTCGCTCCATACAGCCAATGGTGGTGTTCCGGTCGTGAACATTCTCAGGCCCACTACGCTGGTCGTCCGTTGCCTAGTCATGTTAGGTGGGAGCCGTGTTTCGTGGGAGCCCCCAACTCACCTACTTTCTGGACGTGTCGAACCGATGGTGACCTTGGGCGTCCGTCACTCTCTGCACATGTGCTTTTTCTTCTGTCTGGGCCCGCCCTGACACCAAGGTGCGAGTGTTGTGCTGTGCTCCAGACTGGATTCCTTTTTCTTCTGTCTGGGCCCGCCCTGACACCAAGGTGCGAGTGTTGTGCTGTGCTCCAGCTTTACTGGATTCCATCAAACAGTCGTCAAATCGGTGTTCAGTTGACTGGCTCAGTTAGCATCAACACACCTTTATGCGATCTTCTTTGATTGTCAGTATACGCTCTGACAGAAGACATCTCAGAGGCTGAGAAGGTGTTATGTCTACTGATTCGCCAGTCTGTTGTATCTGACTACTGACCCGCTCCAGTGCCTAGTGCCGGAGAAAAGACTCACGGAAGGGAACACAACAGCGAGCGCGAGGGCGTTAGTGCGTGCAAGTGCGAATGTACAGCGGTTTCAAGCTATTTACTGGAGGGACACTGTCTGAACTTGGTCCAATGCTGACGCACGCTGTCTGGCTTTGGTACGAGGCTGCGGCGTGCTGCATATTGCGGGGGCGTTATCTGACCTTGATCAACGCTGACTCGCGCTGCCTTGGTTTGATACAAGGCTGTGAGGCACTGCACACTGAGCGGGCGTTGTCTGCCTGGTCAACATCTAGTGGAGCTGAGAGTCTCGTTAGATTTCGGAAATTCAGTGGTTGCTTTCAGGAATGTGACCTTCCTGATAGAAAGGCTGCTTGTCAAGATTGCTTCAGTCAGCAAGAAGCTCAGATATCATGAATACCCAGGTAAGATGACCAAGTCTTGAGGTAAGCTGTTTCGGCGGCTGATCAGGGGTTGTCACTCACCACATAGCTGAACATCATTGGTTTCAGCATAAGCCCTCACATGACTTGGAGGTTACCAGCTGTGGACTCAGTTGAACCATATAGCAGTCAGGTACCGACAGAGAGCTTTTGGAATACAGCGTTGAACTCCGATCGCGGAATTGTGTAGGCATGAGTATCTATCCGCTTCCCTTCTGGACCGCCCCAGTTGATGCAAAGCCATTCAGTTAATCACTTGTAAAGTACCTCTTTGGCACGACAATATCGAGTTTAATTGTGTTCCAGAGCACCACTGGTATAATGGCTGGAATGGCGACTTGAACGCCTATTGGAGAAAACCACTCTAACAGTTTCTTAAACCTTCTGCTCAAGGTCAACCGCACATCCTAACGGACACTGAATCTCGTCACGATCAACAGTACTGGTTGAAGCCAGGAAAACTATGCCAGCAAAGACAACTTATAATGGCGCGCTGATTTCTAAAACGCCGAATAGTGAAGAGCCTGAGGATTGACAGAGAGCACTGGTGGGTCGAAAAAGTCCGAGAAAAGGAAAAACCTTTTGAGACGGGAAACTATCATACCATTTCGACCGATCCGATCAACTGGTCCCATGAAATCGGATTTTGGTGAAGCCATATTCGAAAACGATTGGATGTCATTTTATTCAAAAGAATGGGATGAAGACTTCGAAGAACAGTCCAGCTGGTTCCTATCAAATCAACCTCTAAAAGGACCAAGCGAACCCGACAGCGAATTCACTGCCAGTCCTCCATTGTCTACTGAAGTCCACGTGCAATTTTATCGGTTCAGAGCATCAAACGCCTGGTTTGTATCGTGTACTATTCATAGACGGTGGAGACTATACTCCAAAACATGCGGGATGAAGAATAGCAAAGGTGATTAATGCATTCAAGAGAAGTGCAAAAACGTCGTGCCGAAACCATCGCTGCATCATTCTAGTTGTCACAGACTCCAATGTTCTTCCTGGTATTATCTATGCAGATCGATCTATCAGCGAAATCATCAGATTCGAGAGGAACAAGCAGGATTTTCTTCTTTCCGGGCTGTGCCAATTTTTGGAACTGTGCCATTCCTTCGGACGACCAATAATGATCATCATTGGCGACCTCAAATCTACCTTAGACTCCGTTGATCGTCGGAAACTGCGGCATTTTCTGGCCATAAACGGCAGTCCTTTTAACTTCCTGTCCCCTATAAGGGCGCTGTAAGCTTGCTCTCGTGGACGTACATCTGTCTAAGCAAACCTTCCAAGTTCATCACCTCCACTGAGGTCAGACGAGTTTGTCCTCTGCCATCCTTCCTTCCTTGTTTCGAATTCGATGTGCTACGCGATTCTTCTTCATCTGCCCCAGACACTGCCCCGAAATCCTCCCGAGGCGTTTGTCCACGAAGGATTATATAGCTCTTCTTGGATTGGGCCCCTGAACAACTCTGCTGTGCCATTGAAGTGATAAATATTACGTAAGATTGGTTGGGATCAAAACCAAACCCCATGCTAGCAGGTGAACTGATCGATGTGGTAGATGATTTCGTCTAACAGGGCAGGTGGGCTAGTGAAAGGCGGAATCATCTCTGGAATTAGAAAAGCCAATTTGGCGTTTGTCAACCTCCGACACTTGGAGTGTGAAGCGACGTCAATTGGAATGTCAAGATAGAAGGTGTAATGCCTCGGCTATATCCGTCTTACTTTATGGAACAGAGACGTGACTTATGCATACAGATCCTGTAAGACCCTGTGCGTTTGAGGATTGGTGCCTCCGAAGCACTGCGCAGATCTGGGAGGAACATCACATCAGTGATGCTGAACTACGCTCCATAGGTAACCCTGTTTCGGCCTTGAACTACGTTCACTAGAGCACCGTGTGCCTAGTACAGACCTCTTCAATCATTCTCGTATCAAAGGAGACGATTCAGAGGTGGTCAATCTATGACTTGGCAATGAAGCACGAAAGCTCTTACCAGTCAGTCGCTTTCATAAGTGCTGTCTCCTAGGAGATCGGGGGACAAGACAAATCAATGGTTAGTGACCTTGACAAATGGGGTTGCCACAGCCAATAGCCATCCGGCGTAAAGCTATTGCCTTCAATGTGGAGTTTTTTCCCTCTTTGTCACAGCAGACAAACTGACCCATGTGGTGTCAATGCTTATTCCAGTACCTCCATCGTGGGGCTCTCAATCCCTCAATCTGATTATCCTCTGGGCACACAGATCTTGACTGAAAAACTGAACTCAAAAGTCAGTTGTGTTCCTTTTATTTCCGTCTCATTTTAGTGTTTTATGGACACCAACTTATTAATCATCGACTTGACGCCCCTCATTGGCAATATTGGATGATTTGGAAACTTTCATTCAAGATGTCCTCTTTTGATTGGTGTGGACTTTTTCCAGAAGGCCGAGAGGCACTGTACAGATGTTTCCTCCTTGTTGGGAATCGTCAACAATCCATCCCTCATGATTCTCCAAGGGGCTAAGGTTATAGCCCGATGTGGAAACCGTTCAGTTTGTTGTAAGCGATAGTCCGGCTGAAAACTGGCGTCTCTCTGGATGGGGACCCCGGAATTGTACTTATCGATGTCCAACGACATCGGTAGACGTGATTCAGTCAAGTACTCAATAGTGCGTCTGCAGCAAAGTTGTTGCCCTTCAATGGTTGCTGATCAGTTTCGCGCTTTATCAATAATTCTATATGGATCAAATGAATATGCCTCAAATACCTGGCTGCACATCCCATGTGCTCTCATCTTTCGATGAGATGGAACTAACAAACTCTAATGGGCAGCTGATTTCGCTCTTACCACACCGTGCCAGAGTGTCGATTCCACCGTCTCCCATCGTTATGCTCCAGACTGTACTATCTGGCAAAACTGCGGTGTATTCCTTTTTAGTTCTGTGATCTGAGATGGATCGCACAACGTGCCTGACCTTTAGCAACTTTATAGCTTCTTTGCTAAACCCAGGATGAACGACTTTCGTTTATATTTTCGGTCACAGTGCGATAGAGCGAAGTCGGACAGGAACAGCATAGTAGGGGCTAATGAGATGTATTCACTGCGGTGAATCGGAAGGTTGATCTGACTCAACATACGCGCAGCATCCACTTGTCGTGCAACGTATCGTACGGAATGTGTGTAAACACGCCCGGATGATGATGACCGACAAATAATTAATCATTAGAATGTGTCGTTTTTTGTACACACTCATTTCCCCGTAGGCTCGGTGAACCTAGTTCAGGATTTTGCTATTCCAGGAACATTACAACCATTCTATCCCTTCAGGACAGAAACTAGTCAACAAAACCCGACTAAGCTTGTGGTGAATCGGTCACTTGTTACCCCTGAAAAGAGCATTTAAGCTAATATTTCGAGATCCAGGTGGAATTCACTTGAGTGTAGTTTGGTATTTTTGTACAATTTTGCAATTACACCTATCGAATGAGTCACAAAGAGAAAAAACCGGTAGTTTGCTGTTGAAGAGTTTTCAGCAACTTCATCAGTAGTGTACGTAAGCAACTATCAGGAAGGTCAGATCCCTGAAAGCAACCGCTGAATGCCCGAAATCTACTGAGACCCTCAGCTCCGCTAGATGCTGACAACGTTCCCTTAATATGAATCGCGTCGCAGCCTTGTGTCAAACCCAGACAGTGAGTCAGCGTTGATCAAGGTCAGACAACGCTATCGCAATATGCAGCACGTCGCATTCTCGTACCAAAGCCAGAGCGTGTGCGTCAGCATTGGACCAGACAGTCTCCCTCCAATAAATAGGTTGAGACCGTCGTACATTCGCACACGCACGCACTCACGCCCTCACACTCGCTTGTTCGGAATGTAACGGTTGTGTTCCCTTCTGTGAGTCTTTTCTCCAGCACTAGGCCCTGGATCGGGTCAGCAGTCAGACAGATACAACAGATTGGCGAATCAGCAGATATAACAGTAATCCAGAACACTGTGTCCACTGTGATCGCTCAAACTCGGGGTTGTTCTATCGTTTGACGTCGTCCCACCTAGCTGAATGTTTATCCCCAAGTCCCATGGTAGGACACCTAACAGGGAAGTAAATTGTACCACCTACGTTTCCAATAAACCTTCTGAGCAATGTCGCAAGGTGAGCTTGGTACCCTTGCTTCGTTGCGATTCGCCTTACATCCGGTCGGTTGGAAACACATCTGCAATGTTGCGTTGAACAGTAAGGACTAAAAGGGGTATCCAATGTGACCTGGGTTTGGGAGGTCGAGCCGGTTCAAAGCACAACTTATCTGATGTAATCAAGTAGCAAGGGGCCTCTAATGAATCCGTCAAATAAGGTTAACTACAGAGCATTTGCCCAATCAGCGTGAACACATTTCACGTGACTTCACACACATTTTTGGGTGTACACGAGTTTCATTCAGGACGGTCAAGACAGTTTTACTCTTACTAACTGCGTTTTCAGTATCCCGTTTCATAAAGGAACTCCATTTTCCCTGAATTTACAAACAGATTCCACATGATTTTTTTCGAGTGAACGTTAGGGTTACATTCATGTGCTTGTAACCGCTCATGAGTTGGCTGTTAGATTCCGTGTCCCCCAAAAGAAATCACTGTGGACAAGGAAGCAATAGGTCTCAGAAGGCTCGCACTTTAAATCGTTGTATTGTGTGAATAAGTCGCAATTCGGCGCACGGTCCTTCAAAGCTATGACTTTCTATACTTCTCCGCTCTGTATTGTCGAGCGTGTTTTTTCTTCCCTATCTTTACTTTACTGTTACTTAGTAGATTTAAAATAAAGGAGCTATGAACGGAAAAGTTCGGGAACCGATATCCTACATACTTCAGTTTCTTCATTTAGGCACCAGCTAAAAAAGAAACGGTCAAAAGTCGTCTCTTCCAGGAGAACCTTAAAGACGAGGGAGGCTTCACTGGATTGGACGAGAGTGTTATTTAGGTGCAGTGATTTCGTTTATGGACAGCTCTCTCATTTGAGGGTGGGGTACAAGTGCGTTGTCTATGATCAAGTGTCGTGTGTCACACTCTTTGCTACTTTGGTTTCGGTACATCACAAGTTATTCCACAAAACAGTTTACTCAGCACCTCGTTCTATTTTTTGACCACCCTTGCTCGAATCCAGCTGCGTGTCTACAACCAAGACGTCTTCAAAAAGGACGAGTACGTTGGTCGAGTGTTGATGCCCCTGAAAAATTTAGTCCTCAATCAGTGAGTCACTCATAGTGAATGTTTGCACTTAAAACGGTTGAAATAGGTGGCATAAGGGTTTGTCTGCTTTATTGATTTTTGTTACGGCTCATTCATCCTACAGGAAATTACAGTGAACTCCAGACTGCCCAATCTTCGGCCACCAACCATCAGGTCCGTTATTCACACCCGCACCTGACAAACCTTCTGCTTTTTTCTCTGGTCTCAAGTAATCTGGTGATACTTGTAATGTACTACTCATAAGCTTGCTGAAAATCCGTCGACAACCCACGACCGGTTTCGCCCTTTTTGGGACTCATCAGGTAGGCGCAGTCCCCGGGTTTCCGTCAACTATATCTTCTACTTGGAAGCAAATTGCACGAAATTAGCGAATATACACTAATTTGCAAACTACTTTGGTTTTTCGAGAGACTCACCTGGAACCTAGCTGAATCTCTCGTTTGTGATGTTCTCAGGCAACTGAGTAGTAGAAAGCAAATGAGTAGTACGTTACAAATATATACATGTATCGCGATATCTCGAATATCGTAGCGACTGAAACATGAGGCGGCTTGGTGCAGCACATTCAGTTGCCTGAGAACATCATAAACGAGTCTCTCGAAAAAAACAAATTAGTTTGCAAATGAATGTATTTTCGCTAATCCGGTGATATTTTAGTTGTTGTTTTACTCTCACGTTGCGTGTTACAAACCACATCTGGTTTTTCCTTACACTGTGATCAGACATGAGTGGTTGGTTTCTCCGTGGATTCTTCGCCAACCCTCTGAGCTCGTCAACCGATTGGCTTAGAAACGGTCGCGGAACACTTAAGTTTCATAGTTCGCAGTGATGAGGTCCTTTTTCGGATGGTTCAATGAAAATCTTATTTAGTTAAAGCAACCACTTTTCGCAACTCTTGGACCAGGCAGAGCTAGGATAAGTTTGGGCGCTGCTTTTGACTTGATAGTTGGGTATCCTTTCGTTTAGAACTAGTTTGATATTCCTAATCTGGTTTGTGTGGAGTGGCTTGTTCCACATTGAGAACAGCAACAAAAAAATGAACAAGCGCAAAAACAACGGAAACACTTGAGTCGAAGCCCACACAGCTGTCCTGTTTGCATTGTGTTTATGACAGCTGATTGAGATCACCTTTAATTGCCAGTTGTGGCTTGATCGATTGATGCAACCTCCTTAGAAGAGGTCGGAAATGATCTCAAAGGCATCGTCGGATTGAAACGTTTGGTTTTTTCAGCAAGCGCCGATCATCAACACACGTTCGTTGCGTTTGAGACAGTGGTGTACGCATTTATGTCGAAAGTGTTTCAAACAAATGCGGGCTGTAAATAAAAGTTCGATTCGAGCCGAAGAGCGTGTGATCGTTTTGAGGAGTCTACGCGGTACTTTGTAGCACCAACTCGCAGTGAATGACGGCTGTGGGAACCTTTTAGCCGTGTCGCAGTTTCAGAGACGTACAGGATTTTTGTCATCCATTTTTGTTCGATCATGTGAAATTTTTCAGTAAAGAGAGATTACAGGGTGACTAGAGGACAAAACACAACTAGAGTTGGTTTTTTGTCCGTATAAAACCTCATATGGAAACCTGTAAATATACAATGTGACCGGACAACAGTTGGTACGATATTCACGGTATATTTTCTTGACGGAGCATAATAATACCAAGATCGCCGAAAGCTTTTTGGGTAGTATGTCCCTGCCTGACTCTGAAATCTCGGGAGTCGAAATGCTCCCGGGACGTTCTCTCACAGACAGTGGGTGTGTAGACGATATTGCTTTCCTCCGTTCAGCCCCTTCCCAGATGCAAACGATTTTAAATAACCTAAATAACTTTGCTGTGCGGTTTGGTATGAACTTCACACCTACAAATTGTAAAGTGATGCTACAAGACTGGGTGGGATCAAGCCCACACTTCATGCTTGCATGTGAACCAATCGACGTGGTGGATGAATTTGTGCACCTGGGCAGCTGTATAAGCTGCCTGGCTGGAGATGAGATTGCTTCTCGAGTCGGGAAGACCAGGGCAGCTTTTGCAAACCTCTGATACCTGAGGCGATGACGTGACGTCAGTTTTTCTGTGTTACTGCGATTCATGGATCAGAGACCTGAATATACAAAAGATTTCAGTGTTTGACCTTCTCCGAAGCACTGATCAGATCTGGATTAGCAATGCTGAGGTACGCCAGATGGTCTTAGGAGCAAGGAACTCTCCCGCAATAGATAACTTACTCACGCTTCCTGGGTTACACTGGTTGGGACAAACACTCCGCACGCCTCGCGGAGCTCTTTTTGCTCAGCCCTGTGCTGGATGGAAGCGACCGAGAGGTGGACAGTGTATGACCTGGCAACGAAGTACGAAGACACTAATCCGCAAACATAATCAGGTTGACAACCAACTCCTCCCAGGATAAAGGACCCCGAGACTCAGTTCAGCAATGGCTAATAACACTGGCAGAAATGACACAATCGCGCAGTCAATGGCACTCGTGTATCCAAGCCATCACCTTCACTGCATGGCTACCCAGTATCCGAACAAACTGAACATGTCGTCGCCTCCAAGGCTTGATTGTATGCCCCACACTGTCCCGTTTTCCGGTGATCGAAACTGTAGCGACTGGAACGAATGAGCCCATGGTACACGGTTTACGGCTGATAAATTGAATTGAGTTGTGGCTTTTATATGAAAATTATGAGCCCAGGTTGCTTATCGCTGGACAAGACGAATATTATGAGTAATCAGTGATGGAATGAACAACCCTGAGCGTTTCAGAGCTAATTTGGAGCTCATTCGGAATACGTTTGAGTCCTCGAAAACACTGATCAGAGTGGTTCTCCAGGGAGCAGCATGTATATTTTAGACCTCTTGAGACGTGATTTATATTTATACTCCATCATCTTGCGACTCAAAAGCTTTGAGTGTCCGAACATGTTGCCCAGGTTTTACTGCCATACAGAAACAAAGGTCACACATGAACCCAATGGATTGTAAGTCTTAGGTTTATGCCCAAATTCTATGTAATGAACGAGGCTAAGTCTACCAACTCAGGAAAAATACGTACAACATGCTATCTATGCTGACTGATAACCATTCATTTGAAAGCTGAGTGTTTTCTGTTGGGTTAGTGATGTACGCTGATGAGACAAAAACGTTTGGGTGACGTTTAGGTTCGAGCCGGAGCAAGAGGACACCAAACTAAGGGCCACTGGCTTATCCTTTTGTAAACAGTAGCATACTGGTGTCGGACAAGCGCAGTAGAGTTTCGCTTGAGAAGCGCTCCGAAATACACTACTACAAACGATTCGACCGGTGTTTTACTGATACATCACTGCTGAGAGTAATTCGTCTCTTGCGGAACTATGGGGGGAGGGGAGGGGAGGGTGAAGGGATAGCATTTACTAACCCCAATCTACTGTAGGCGTTAGAAAAATCTGAGATGCACACAGCCCACTTACTGACCAGCAAAGTTCGATTTATCTTGTATCCTTGAGATTCTCGTGAACGTTGAGCACCTTGACTGCCTGTGCTAGATGATTCATTTATTTGGTTCACTTGCTTTTGAAAATCTTTGAAAAACTGCCAGGGCAGCCACTATTCTGCTTTGACTTCAAACTTTCCATATTATTTCGTTTATTCTTTGGTTACTTATTAATTTCATGAGTAGCAATTTTTCGTGCATAAATTGCACCGTGTTCACTCGTTCTTCTCCACTTTCGTAGGCTACAGGAATTCTCCGTCCAGTTGACAAACGAGGACAGCAATGAAGCGACTCCGGTTGGGGAGCTAACTTTCAGCTTGATCCTGGGTGAAAAGCCGGAGCTGGAAGTGGCTGCAGATCGCCGACAGTTCCTGCTAAAACAGCTGAAAATTGATCGCCAGAATGCCTACCAATACCCGACAATGACAACCAAACGACCGTCTCCTGATATATCGCCGGTGAGTTGAAATAGATAGATTGGAATAGAATTTCTCGAAAAATAAGATTCGTTTTGCATATCTAAAGGTTGCCTTGTCAAAATGTTGCTGGAAGTCGATTTAAGCTTCATCATTTGGGTACTCTGGTCTACTTGAATCCTATCGATTCACGAATAATTCGGAAAAAACAGCGTCTGACACTAAACCTTCAATCACAGAACCTAATTCCTATTGCGGGCACCAGGTTTTGTTAACTTACATGGATTCTAGTCAGAAAGTTCCTAAAAAATAATTATGTTCCGAAAGACTGGTATATTTGAATAGCTTAGAAGCGATCTACTTGTTCTTTTTCATAATTCTACCCAACTCCCAGTCGTTTTCTGCAACTATTTCACGGATAACCCGAATTATTCCATCTCGATGATAACCTAACATACTTCCATTTGATTTATACGTCTTCCGTTCACAGAGAACTTTACGACGTTGTGTGAGTTGAAGTCATGTATGCGAATATCGTAATGGTTTCTATAAAAATCACTTTCTTCCAAAGTTGCCCTGGTTCGATAAAAACTTTGAAATTCACATCCGTCATGTTCAAAGCGAAACGGAAACAAATGTTGTTAAGGGGGAAAAGCCGGAGCTGGAAGGGGCTGCAGATCGCCGACAGTTCCTGCTAAAACAGCTGAAAATTGATCGCCAGAATGCCTACCAATACCCGACAATGACAACCAAACGACCGTCTCCTGATATATCGCCGGTGAGTTGAAATAGATAGATTGGAATAGAATTTCTCGAAAAATAAGATTCGTTTTGCATATCTAAAGGTTGCCTTGTCAAAATGTTGCTGGAAGTCGATTTAAGCTTCATCATTTGGGTACTCTGGTCTACTTGAATCCTATCGATTCACGAATAATTCGGAAAAAACAGCGTCTGACACTAAACCTTCAATCACAGAACCTAATTCCTATTGCGGGCACCAGGTTTTGTTAACTTACATGGATTCTAGTCAGAAAGTTCCTAAAAAATAATTATGTTCCGAAAGACTGGTATATTTGAATAGCTTAGAAGCGATCTACTTGTTCTTTTTCATAATTCTACCCAACTCCCAGTCGTTTTCTGCAACTATTTCACGGATAACCCGAATTATTCCATCTCGATGATAACCTAACATACTTCCATTTGATTTATACGTCTTCCGTTCACAGAGAACTTTACGACGTTGTGTGAGTTGAAGTCATGTATGCGAATATCGTAATGGTTTCTATAAAAATCACTTTCTTCCAAAGTTGCCCTGGTTCGATAAAAACTTTGAAATTCACATCCGTCATGTTCAAAGCGAAACGGAAACAAATGTTGTTAAATGCTAGATGGCACATGTTTTGATAGTATGGCTACTGAGTCGTCTCATATCATGCGTCGCTTGTGAGTAGCATAATCAGTCAGTTCACAAATCAAGATGTTGTGTCTACTGAAACAGAAGCATCACTGCTCTCATTGTATTTCGCAGCACACAAATGAATCATAGCCTCCACAAAACTCCTTGAATATCCGCACCGAAAAGCATGTATTGATGTCTGTAGGCTTTGACATCATATTGGTTGTCAAGGCAGAGAAAATGGGGCAAAGAAGCGTGCTTAAATGGGTCATGGGTTCGTTACCAATTTTGAGCAGTGAGAATGGCAGTTAAAGGCTCATACAGTAAACGAAAGTAAAGAATAATTGGACGTTACGTGAGCAAGGGGTTATGGCCAATTGCAAGGCTTATTGCAGTGTGACACATCTCAGGACACAGGGGTGAGTTAAACGGTCCAGTGGACACTGGCTCAAATGTGGACAAAAGACAGTTCTTTGTTGCCTTCTGTTTACTGTGTTTAGTGACATTTAATTCGAAGGATCCCGTGACAAAAATACAGGGTATTAGACAGATCAGTATTGCATATTTAAAGTACACGTGTTAGTGCTATTTCAACCTTGTGAGAAAGTGCAATTTGCCTCGTTCCACTAGTAGATGACCTATCTGCCATTAGGAACCTTTCTAAATGAGATTGTCATCATTTCTTGGCTCACCACCCGGGAGACAAACTTTCATCTTCGAATTTGTTATGTGTTAGACATAATGTTGGGCTATCAGAATTCCCAAGTAATCTGTGTGCGTCATCATGAACAAGAGTAACGTTTTCCACGCGGAAAAAATATTTCTTATTCCGCGTTGGATGTTGAAATATCCCGCGCTCCACATTTCATTTTCACAACGTGGCGGTTTATTTTTCTAGGTATGGCGCTTCTCCATTCAAGTTACTGATTCCAGAATCATTCAGTGAAACTAAACGTTTTGCACACTTTCCATAGTGTTTATGAACAAAACCTCCGGAAAGGACAGGCATATTATGTCATATCAAGGAGATGGTAGGTCTGTGAAGAAGAAAGAAGACAGGGATTGACTCAAAGCGGGAGGAAATTTCACAAGACGAAAGAAACATCCGTCTCAGAAGTCGTTACTCGAGCAGTCAGTCACGTGATGTGGTTTCTGTGACTTGACAGCGCACTGTATCCTGTCTAATTGAGAGCTAGTTACACTTCTGCTCGTGACCTAACGGTTAATTATTCATCCGCTGCCCGGGTGGTCACAGGTTCTGAAATCTGTGATTTCCTTGAGATGCATACCGCTGATGATACCCAATAAGGATGAAACGGCTTTATAGTGCTCCTCGATTTTTCAGCTTCGACTGGTCTCCCCATTAGGATGAAATCTCAACTGACAATCTAAAATCACTAACTAGTAAATTGTTGCGATTCCCGTCAAAGCAAACGCTTCCAGACCTAATCGTAATGTGTGATAATCTGATTCTATTCCGTGTTTTACGTCACGACTAGACTTGAAACAACCAAGTGCCTCTGATCTTTCGGTTTGACACATGTCCACCGTTATTTATCCGTTCTTGATAAATGATAACACTTTTATTTTAACTCTGACTGGATTCTTCAGACTACTATCATACTTTTTTCTCCATAAAACAAGCTTGCGTGGGGATATCCACGCTGATTGAATGGCGTTGATAGGCCTTGCAATATGAAAATTCCAGTTACACGTGTTCTTATGCCACTCCCGATTGGACTTTTACGAATTAGTTCCCCGTAATGGTCAAAGGTGCGAAAAGTATGGGTTGAGGTTTTTTCCACGTCCACTGGCCTAGTTGCTCATTATGGTTGGTCCTGTAGGACTGAAATCAAATGAGCAATCCGCTATAGAAAGTGGCCTCAGAGAGATCAGCTACTCAGGATGGAAAGAACATAGTTGAGAGTATTCACAGATGTACCGGGAACCCAGTAAATACTGATTTGCTGGTTCTGTTGCAACCCCGTGCAGTTGCTAGAGTACTTCGACCAGCGGTTGAGACGAAACGCACGCAACGCGGTCCCGCTTTCTGATGAGTATCGGGATTTGGAGGTAAGCCCGAAGCCAAATAGGAATAGGGCACCCAGCGCGAAGTATACAGCACGGACTGCCACGTGACCCCACGTGATCCGATCAATCAGCTGATCTTCTCCTATCTGAATACACTCATCATTCACACAAGCTGATTTTCAATCGTTTTCGTTTAAGATGATCAATCCAGATAGTTCTTTTTATATCAAATAAAGCACAGCGCTCAATTTTTGGTCTTACACTTCTCTTGTACAATCGTTTTGACCCACACGCAAAATTCAGGACAAAATTATCGTCATGACATCAGACGATTAGGGTTTTGTGCTCAAATACTGAAAAACTTGGATGATTTTTCATGTACTTTTGTGTAAGCTAGAGTCAAAAAATTTTTATATGATTTCCTTGTGAGTGATATTCAGTTTCGCTGGTTTTTTTTTAACACGAAGCGACTGACTACTCAGATTCGAGACTTCAGCAACCTGGTAGAAGACATTCTTGGAGTGCGTGTAAAATTCGATATTTCAGCTATGCAATCATCGAACTTAATTGCTGACCCTCATCAGATCCCTCTGCCATGATCTGCGTCCTTGCGGAGTCTGGTTTGGATTATCTTACCGAAAATGCAGTATACATTTGGATTGTCCACCATTCCCGAGAACTAATATTCCTTCGAAGGTTGAAGTCTCAATTTTACTCTACTTTGGTCATGATAATGACTTTTTCACTAATCAAAGTTCTGAACCCCTCAAGAGGGAGGCAACAGCACGTCTCAACAATACGCCATCGATACCCTGTGCGGAAACCCCACAGGCGAAATCTCTACCCCAGTGCACAGAAATTTTGGTTGAAAACTTTCATCCGATTGTCCCTGTTACTCTTTGTGGTTAGGTTTTGGAGTGACAACAAGACTATTTGGCTGTTAAAATGTATATTCCAGAAGCCGATCACCTTTCGTGAGGTTAAAATGTGTCGGGAAGGTGGGACGGTCCTGGTATTGGAGAGGATAGAAGCATATTCCTTGATTGTTCTGATACCATCGCCGTTTTGGCTTCTGACTTCCGCCGAGTGGCAGTGGGATTCAAAAGCAGTCCCTCAAGGCGGACAAACATTTTGAAAGATGATTGGTGGCTTCCCTCAGAAGATGGATTTACTTTGAAGGCATTGATAATGCAGAATGGAGTCGTACAACAGTGGTTTTCACACCGCGGTCTGTGCATCCAGAGGATTTTTCGTACTTATCGCGTTGACCACCGTAGTGTTAATCATCGTTTGACAAATCATTCAAAGAGGGCGCTAAAGCCATTCTCTTTTAGAAAACTTTCCTCCCTGGAGGAATGGGTCGACTCTGAGGTTCGCGGTTTCATTCTTCGGTAACCTGTGATCTTTGTCGACGCATTTCGTATCCCCTCTAATCTGATGGACGCGAACTGAAATTTGAGGGGAATTATATGTAGAAAACTTGTCGGTTGTCATTCACAGCTCTTTCCTGTTAGGACAAGTTCGCTCCACCTCCACCAAAAACAACTGTCCTCGGTTTTTTCGTTATTTTCTTCACACGCATACCGTAACCTTGGATCCACTTTGGTGGATTTCTATCACGCACGTTAGCAAGGTCACTAAGCAAGCCCCTTCCTATACATGGTAAAACTTCAGTGCTTTCAGGAATCTGTTAGCATGATATTTCGCAAGCAACACCAAAGGGATGTGGAGGAACCTCACGGCTGTGTTTGTTTATCAGTGTAAAAAGTGAAAGAAAGAAACGGTACATTTGAAGAATTAGCAGTCAGGGTTATCGACCACCCCGTTTTGGTGCCCTGGTTACGTCAGGAGGGAAAACGTGAAGGTCAAGAGGTCATGGACAGTAGCAAGGAAAATTCAGAGAATCGCAATGAGGTGAGAACTCGATATTTTGCCAATATACGTGGCATAGGATATTTCGCACTGTACAAGAGGTTTCCGTCGAATACAGTGTGTGCTTTATGAGACCCTGATGCAGACACATACCACTGTACGTAGGTTGGCGAAAATATGTCCCTCGTAGTTGCATTCTCAGTCCTATTGTCATCCTCTCTGCTGTTTTAGACACGTTTCTAGCCAAGCGACAGTTTCTCGCTAAGCGACAAGCTAACAACCAAGCTCAGGAAAATAGATCACCCGGTTAGCAAACAGTTAAGTTGTTCCACCTTCCTAATGTAGAAATCCAGACGCGACTATAGAGCTAACTCTTGTCTGCTCCCCCTGACTGCGAATCCATCTGTTATGTTCACGAGAGCTGTCATCAGAACTTGCTGGAAGCTGTCACCTTTTTAGCTGAATATGTCGCAATAGTGATCACGTCTGAAATGATACTCAGTACAAGAACCAGGTCACTGACGAATTGAAGCGCCAAGGTTGCTCGTCACAACTTCACCCAACTAATTCGATGTTTAACCTCTTATTTATAACGGCCGACCCAGCGGTGGGCGTGCAGCTGGTCATGTTACTGGTTAGTTTTGATAAGTCAGATCACCTGACTGACCCATATGCTGTAATACCAGACTTTTTAAACACTCCGAGAGAATGACGATGTTGGCGGCTGGCTTGCCGCCCAGCAAATAAACCATTTACCTTGATCGATCGACTTTCAACTAGGAGGAATGTACTGAACATGTGAGGAATGGAAATTGTTACTTCTAAACCGATCACTCTCGAGATCACTCGTAAAGGAACGCAACTTTGAAGCTATCGAATGCTTATGGGCCACTTGTGGATGATGGAAGACCATAAACTGCAAAAACCTTCTGGAAACTACTGTAGTTCACAGTAAGTCAGAAAAATACGTAAGGACACGGGTGTACTGTGTACACGCAGCCAGCTGGTTCGCTTTCGAGGCGGGTAGGCAAGCAACTGAGTCACATATCCAGTCAACCCACAACCCAGTCACGCGAGCAAATCAATCGGGCACGCACCCAATCAGCCACTCAAGTCACGCGCCAAATCGATGATGGAACGATGAACGGACACGCACACGCCCAAACTCTCTGACACACCGGAGCAGCCACTACGCGCGAGTAGTCTTGTCCGGATGTGGGGTCCATTAGTTCGGGAAGAACGATGGCGGGTGGGCGGCGTGATTAGGCTTTTTGCTGAACAATCTAAGCATTTAGCGAATATACACTCATTTGCAAACTAATTTGGTTTTCGAGAAGACTCACCTGGAACCCAGCTGAATCCCTCGTTTGTGATGTTCTCATAAGGTTGACGGAAACACGGGGACTGCGCCTACCTGATGAGCCCCAAAAAGGGCGAAACCGGTCGTGGGCTGTCGATGAATTTCAGCAACCTTATGAGTAGTACAACCTAAGCGTTTCTCGCGAACAAATTTGGTAGTGGTTTGATCTATCAATTTCATCCTATCAGAATGTCCTTCGGAATCCAGCCCGCATCCCGCTTTTTCGCTTGAGCGGCACTTCAGCGCGTGTTAGTGTGTGTACTCTGCCACTTTGATGGGGCAATAGTTCAGTCCTCTTCGACTGTGTGATTAGGAGAGCTATTGAAGTTGGCGGGTTCAGGGTAAGGTTTCATTTGGCACTGAAACCGGAAGCATTTTATCGTTTTAATTTAAGTTATTTTTCCGCATTATTGGGCTGCCTGTCTTTTTTTACTAATCTGGAGCATTCAGCAGTCCATACACGTGACTACTTATGTCTACTAGTTATTGAAGCGATCAATAAGCTAAGCAGTCCCACTGAATTTCTGACGGCCGTGTAACGGTTTCCGTCTAGTTTCATCTAGGCCTAGTACCACCAAAAACCAAGAGGAACTGCTGATGTATCGGAACAGACGGTTCCACATCTAGAGTTCCAATCCGTCTCACTGAAACGGGTGTTTTCGGTGGTGAGCACTGTACCTTACGGTTCAGCATGTTGTGTCTACTGACTCTAGAAGTTGAACCTCGATGTATTATCCGCCCTCTCTCTTTAGACCGGATGCGATGTATCTTCCTGGTGCGAGAACGCAGCTCGCTTCTATTCGGATTCTGCTCAGGAAATGAACAGCATTTACGCGCAAAATATCTACTCTGCAATTGACGATGACGAGATGGAGGAGGACGATTGGCTTGATGAGAACGAGTTCTACTTTCGTCAACCATCCTGGCCTGCATGCTTCTACGATGGTACCAAACTCGAGGTTTATACGGGTCGGCTGCCGAACAAACTGCAACCTCTGCCTTTTTCTCAGATCAGTCGTTTGCCCAAGGTCATTACAGACGTGAACTGGGAACAAATGTACACCCGCTCGAAACTTGTGGTTTCGTTGATTGGGGCGCAGCGACTCGAACCAAAGCAAAAATCAGAAACAATATTCCCTGGCTCGGTTCACCGATCCCATTCTCAGCGTGCTCGATCGAGCAAAAAGCATGCATCAGGGCATGAAGAAAAGTCGAAAAGTGATGTGGTCGAACCTCCATCGCCAATGGCTCTCCTGAGCGTGGGAAGGACCACTTTTCGCAGCGCGGTAAGCCATTACACAACCTGATCCTCGGTACAAGGAAGTTTTGTGATATTAGGGACTGCTTTGAAAGTTCTTAAAAGCAGTTTTCATCAGGCGATGGAAGTCGGTTTGTTTGTTTGATTGTTTCAAACACAACTTTGATTCAACAAAAAGCAGATGCTTTTCTCCGTTAAACTTGTAAAGTTGCTGAGGAATCTTCGGCAACCCGACATCGGTGTCTACCTTCTTGGGAATCATCAGGTAGGCGTAGTCTCTGGGTTCCCATCAGCCTTATGTTTTACTTGATTGTGTCGCTCAACTGTGCTTTGTGTTTTAGCCTTGTAGAACGGCCAGAAAAGATAGGTCTGGCTGGCACCATCACCGCAAACCCATCGTCCTAGCAGTGAAAGACGTTTGACGACGAAAAAAGCCTTTTCAGGCTCAAGGAGACAAATTTGGAATCACATGCATCCGTGCCCAGATCCAGAATTCAACTTGCTCTCCTTCTCTGATTGCTTTTGATCAGGTCATCAAAAACACCAGACATCCCTCGTGGCACCAAGAATTCGAATTCCGATTAAGGACAGGAGATAAGAAAATTCTACAAGTGGAGATCAGGGACATGTCAACCAATCCGTATACCACGCTTGTACGGTAAGTTCTCCAAACTGTTTGTTCGGTTCTTCTATCTGCAGTCAGTCGTCATGCCAATCTATCATGTGCATCGTGTTCACATCTGAGGAATGCGATCACCGCCTTCATGAGGCCTATCGATGGGTCATTTCTGGTTAGATGTCGTTTTTTGTCCACTGAGCCGAACAATTTGGCTGCACATATCCCATCGCCTGTCACGTGCATCGGTGCGTCACTAGTTTTGTTGGGTAGCGTTTTGAGTGTATCAGCGATGCATTCCGCTGATCTGGACTGACTGCTGATTATGATTGGACGATTCTGTTGGTCGGTGTTCTGATTGGTAGATGTCTACATGGCCTGATACGAATTGTGGAGACAACCTGTCACGTGAGGAGTTAATATTTGGATCCTGCTGCACGCAAGTTGCGACCGAGTTGGGCAGGTGGACAATCAATACCAAACTAAAAACAAAACGAGGTTAATTCTGGAGCAGTAATACAGAACTAATCAATTCGCTCGCTTGTATCTAACTGTCCGTTGTAAGCTAAAGATGGGATTTGCATCAGCGATTAGAATACCTCGTATTTTACAAAGGAAACTACTCACAAGGTCGCTGAAAACTTTTGGACAGCCCACGACCGGTTTCGGCCTTCCAGTTCAGGCTCAGCAGATAGGCACAGTCCCCGAGTTTCCGTCAACCTTATGTTCAACCTCGTATTTTATGTTATCAGCGGAGGATTCTGCCGTGGAATTTTCACGCTGATTGCCACTTCATTTGATTATTTCTGTGATCCTTACCTCAGCAGGCACGCTGAGATTACACCAAGGAAACAGGTACCAAACTGTGACAATAGAAACTCTGATTCACTGTTAGTTGTCTCGCATATACTTCTAACGATACGACCAACATGGACATGTTTATCTTTAGAAAACGTCGGTTCAGTTCTTTCTACCACTTAAAGTTCTTTGTTGAGTCAAAATGACGTAAACGAGCGACTCAGCTGGGTTCCAGGTGAATCTCCCGAAAAACCAAACTGGTTTGCAAATGAGTGCGCTTCGCTGAGATCGTGCAATTTGCGTTCAAGTAGGACATAAGGTTGAAGGAAACTTGGCAACTGAGCCTACCTGATGAGCTTCAAGAAAGGCGAAAGCGATCACTGGCTGTTGAAGACTTTTCAACAACCTTATAAGTAGCATAATGCGTCGTTCGTGTGTCACGATATCTCGAAAACCGTACCAACTGAAATATGAGGCGACCTTGTGAAGCACATTCAATTGCTTGAAAACGATAGGTTCAACTAGGGTTCCAGGTGTATCTCCCGTGAAACCGACTTGTTTTGCAAATGAGTGTATTTCCTAGTATTTTTTGGTCCCCCTACAAGACCGAAAGAGATTTCGTTTGTGAGAAGGGTTATCCGTGGGTGAAAACAGTTTCCGTACTGCTTTGACCCCCAAAGTGGCCCGCTTTTGCAGCTGGCCTGGTCAGATGCTGCACAATGTAGCGTCTTTCATTTTTTGCAGGGAACTTGTTGCACGTATCACGAGAAAGTTTCAACTGGAATTTCATCTTACAAATGAAATAGGTCGATAGCTTCACTCATCTTTCGTGATCACCCGTTGATTGTCTCCTCGGGTGACGACATCTTAGAATCAAGACTGACGTATGAGAACGGGTTAGTCGCACTGACTGGCTGATCAGTCATCGGGGTCAGAAGAGGCAGGTGTTCAGTTCGGAAGACTAAGGGTTTGAACCTCCGTGGAGATTCTCGAGGTACACACTGTTGTTGATTTCCAACAAAAAAGAAGAGATTTACAAAATCCTGGGCTTTTCAGCACATACTGACTTCACTTTCAGGATGAATTGCCGATAAAAATTTCAAAACATCACTGCGAACGAACAAAGGGGGTCACGGATGTTTTCAATGTGAAATCAAATCTCTACATGGAATATTTCAAGATATAGTGTACAACACAAGAGGAGTTATTTCTTCATTTGGGATTATTATTCTGGCTTCCTGGGAGTCTCATTGACGAGACGTGGCGTAAAGGAAAAATGCTGGCAACGTAGACTTAACTTGCGTTACACCAAAAACTAAAGTCAATCGATTTTCTAGTCCGCTGGATGGCTCAGAGGAAGCCTCAGACCATTGGCCCAGATTAGCTGATTGGCTACTAAGTTAAATGGCCGATGTCACGAATACTGCGATAGAAAATTCCGGAACATTAGTCGGTTTTTCTCGATTGGATCGGACCTGGCTCAGCCTATAATCCAATCTGCCTAGCATCACTGGCCGGAATATGCCACCATACGGATCGGGCACGGGGACACAAGATGCGCACGTAGTTTTTGAAGTTTCTTACAGTTGTCCTAATAAGGAGGACGCATTCGTGCGGTGAATTATCTCGGGTTCCGGTTGCATCCTGACAACTGCTACACAGGTTTAACGTCATTAGTTCTTATCCTTTGATACACTTGTATTCGATGTATCTATTAAACTTGCCTAGAATACTCTGCTACTCTAGAAGCGCGCGGTGCAATTATCACCGATCAACCCCCCCTGCTCCTCTCCGTCTCCTCACCGAGGAGACGTTTGCTGGATGAAGTGAGTAGTATGTTAGTAGTATTGTTATCATCCCACTTTTAACTTCACTCGCCATAGTTTTGTGAGTCGAATTCAACCGCACAAACGTCGTGCTGAAAATTCCAACACTTTGATTGTTTGCCTGCCTAACTTCGAGGTTCCCTAAACCATGAGTTACGCGGTATGAATTGCTTGAACAGTTGGTCAATTTCTGTTTTGTTGTCTAGCCACATCTATCCATATTCGGAATGCTTAGCAAGACCGCCAAACTCGCATTATTTATTCCCTTTTAGTGCTTATCTGGATTTTGCGAAACTGATGCCCGACTGGACTGACTGCTTCACCTTGAAAAACGTGATCGAAGGTCACGAGGGCCAAGTCGTTCTTCTGGCCACTTTGACCGGATTTAGCAAGCCACTGGATCCAAGCTCTGTCTCACCACTCCCCCCAAACTACCGAACTTCTCAAGTAAGTGTCAGGTCCCCGGAACCGGTTGAAGACGGAGTGATTGTTCCACCGACACAGACACCAGTGCCATCAGAACTACTGGAATTGGTCGCAGAAAACTATGTGAGTTTCGGTCCCTAATCAGCTAGTATTCTGGCAGTGAATAGGGACTTTGCACAAGAATCTACATTAAACTGTCTTCTATTTCAGAGCCTTCGGAACACAATAAAAGATCGATTTGATGTCGGGTGGCTACATGTTTTTGGTAAGTCTGGTGTTTGGTACTCATGTATTGGATCAGTGCATGCCTTTGAGGTTTCTTGTGTGATTCCGAAAAATGGTGCTCAGCGGATATTTTACACCTTTCTCGTCTTTTTCGACAAATACTGGTTGGTCAGATGCTCCCTAAGTTTCACGTTGCTTCGCTGTGGGGTCCGACACCCAACTATTCGCGACCCAATAGGATAAGTCGTCCAAGATTTTGGTCTCGCTGATTTCACATTACGGCAATTTACGGGTGTCCACCGGTGTGTGATTGATCTACACCGCATTCTTTAAAACCAGCATGTTCGATTTTGTCAAATGTTCACGTGTTGGACCTGGTCAACGCCCACGACAGTCGCTTACAACAGAAACGAGCAAAGGCGCTGGGATCTGGTGGCCATCCAAAGACCAATCAAAAGAAAGTTGATAATTTCTGTGCAACTCTGGGGGACTAGATGACGGAGACGCTGTATATTTTCCACTGTTTTCATGGAGAGGAAATCCGCTGAAACGAATTATTTTTTGTGACCTACTCTGTTCTCAGCTTGCATATCGATCGAAAGGAACCATATCACTTCACACTGGTCTTCGCAAGCGACTGGGGTTCTGAAATGAGTTTGCGCGAACGAACATGGAAACTAGTTCAACTAATTCTGCCGAATCCGTCACTATCCATCATCTCTGGGCTTCATTCAGTTTAGTGTGAGAGCTATGTTCCAAAGTGCCTTAAATAGCATAAGTTGTTTCAGCTAAACAGGAGCCTTGAAGTACGATTTGGGTACAACTTGAACATAATTCTGACGGAAACTCAGGTTCTGCGCCCACCTGATGAGCCCTAGGAAGGCGAGACAGGTAGTATTGAACCATCCGGGAGTTTTTTTAGTAGAGTAATAGAATGAACTCACTTCGGAGTTTTGCCGGCATCCTCATGTGCAAGTTGGAATATTCTCACTGGTATGTGTACACAGGAAATGCTGTATCAGATCAGTTCTCTGTTGTCTCAAAGTACAAATTTTTGTCAAACCTGTCTTCATGAGAGTATTCTTGTTGGTCATGGTTTTCGTAATTTCCATAAAATTATTCGTAATGCACTGCTCATAAAGTTGCTGAAAATTCGACGACCTTGTGAGTAGTGCATTACGAGCACACGTGTATTGTTCAGCTTTAACACGCTTCTGGTACTTTCCGGAACTGTCAACCTTTTGCGCAATTTTTGAAAATTTTCTTTTTATCTAGATAAGATAGTGTATCCCTCATTGCTTGTTCATCAGGTTTGGTGAAAGAATTTAGGGACATTTGTTGCCAAACATGTGCGCTAGAAAAGAATAGGTAAATGTTTGAATGGGACTTCCTAGAGGCGGTAGCAAGAACAGAGGGAGAACTGAGGATCAGTCTTATCCGAATAGCCACGAGGGGTAACCAGCCCGATTCTAACAACAGAAGCCATCGAAATGGGTTAGATGTCACCACTGTCATGGTCAAACTGAAAAGTAATGATTGGAACACAGGTTAAGTTGTTTTGAACGTAACGCGATCCCAGAAATCGATCAGAACTATAACTCTCAAACTCTGGGGAGACCATCCAAGATTGGACTCTTCTGTGGGATGGACGTTTTTGAGAACAACCTCGCTACCGACTCAAGCGGCTAACCCAAAAACGTCAATTTCAATTTTTCAAGTCGTAGCTTTGTTCCAACGGTCAACAAGATGTGCTCATTGGTCCACGCGCCATATTGAATGTTCTAGTCCCTTTTCGTTGCTCAATAATTCCCCACTAGACAGAGGAGACTTTGTTCACACTTTCTAACCCGGACTCGCCTGTAGTGTTTTCAAACAGTGGTGAGGGGTATGGATGCAAACTAGCAGTCCGGGATAGCTTTGGGGTTAAGGCACAAGACTACTAAACGGAATGTCCGCGGTTTGGCGCCACCTCTGGCTTTTCAACTGCCCCTCCTCCGTAGGCTTGGTGATAGCCCTGCCCTCGTGCTGGCTTCAAGATGCACCACAGCTATGCAGCCAAGGGCGCAGCGATCAAAGGAGGACCGAACTCAATTTACTTACATGCAAATCCGTTATCTCATTCGTCCGATCCTGTCAAGACTTGGAAAAGCTGGCCATCTGCAGCATCGATGAATCCTGTGCCAACAGAACAGACCTAAGTCTCCGAAGGAATGGCCAAGCACATTCCAAAGTACTTGATCCGTGCAATGACAGAGCGATCACAAAGCAGTCAGTCAGTCATCTGGGCGTCATTGAACACAAAGTACTTGCCGATCAGTCAGTAAAATTCTTCCATAAGAAGATATCGGCGTCCGTGAAGGACTTTTGTGAAGGCGCTCAAAGATTTGTCGGCTGTATGATTCAGGTAGCTGGGAATTCGGCCAGAACATTCGTAGACTGTTTTCCGTGGTTTGGACATTCAACCCATCACTGCCAACAGCACATATAGTCATATACTACAGTGAAGGAGCTGTCTCCATTTTTTGGTTCATTTGGCTTGCTTCCAATGATTCTGGGTCAGTTGGTTACATTGAGGCACTGTGGTTGATGATGTCCACAATACAAATCAGAATGTATGTGTACTAATAAAAGTTTTTTTGTATCGTTGACAGTAGTTTACAAAAGCGATTTGCAACATGTATAAAATGGGGGGGGGGCAATATAAATGTGGAGCAAGGCAAAAGGGAAATTATCATATGCGAGAGTCCCCTCGGG